CCAGCTCTGGGGGATGAGAGGGCAAGGGAGAGCAAGGAGTGAAGGGAGGGCAGTGGGAGGGTGGAGCACACATAGCTATCAAGTCCCTGTATCCAGTGTATTTCCTTCACCCGAGTTATGACATTTAATCCTAGTGATTTGTCCTGTTGTACCAATCCAAGAATCTAGGGCTCAGAAAGGTCACCAGAAAGTGATGAACCCACAATTTAGGGGTTTCTTGGGGGGCTACTGGAGATTGAACTCGGGGGCACTTGACCACTAAGCCATATCCCCAGTCTATTTTGTACTTTATTTAGAGACAGAATCTCACTGAGTTTAGTGCCTTGCTTTTGCTGAGGCTGGCTTTGAACCGGATCCTCCTGCCTCAAATCTTTCAAGCCATTGGGATTATAGGTGTGTGTCACTGGGCCCTGCTGAACCCAGAATTTAGCACAAGAGATACCTTATTTCATTTTCTTCCTACTGATAGAAAACAGCCATGAAGTTGCTTTTGGCAGATAGATGGTAGATTGGAGGTGAGCATGGCCAACTCTTAGGTCCTGGAAGAGTAGGGGAGGAAAAAAATGGCTTCCCTTTACCCTCTTAGGTTCTTTGGTGGTCTACAAATTAAATTGACAGATTAACAGGAGAGCCGGGCACAGCGGCACATGCCTGTCATCCCAGAGGCTCAGGAGCTGCGGCAGAAGGATCGTGAATTCAGAGCCAGCCTCAGCAAAAGCAAGGCAGTTAAGCAACTCAGTGACATCCTGTCTCTAAATAAAATACAAAATAGAAGTGAGGATGTGGCTCAGTGGTCGAGTGCCCCTGAATTCAAACCCCACATCTCCCCCCAACCTGCAAAAAAAAAAAAAAAAAAACAACAGATTAACAGGAGAAAAAACATATTTAACTATGTATACGTGGAAGTCCTGCATAATGTGAGGCTCCAAGAAGGGTCAGAGAATTGCACCTTACATAGATAGCATCCTGAGCTATGGAAAGGAATAAGGGCTTGGGGCTCCTGGTCGGGGGGGGGGGGGGGGGGGGGGGGGGGGGGGTGACTCCAGCCACAAGAAAGTAAGGGGAGGAGCTGTGTGGTAGAAAGAGTGATTGATTTTGCCTTGAGGGTGGGAGGACAGGCCTTAAGGACAGTGGGTGCTCTTAATGGATTGTTCTGTTGTAGGGACAGATGAGGCAAGGCTCTGAAGACAGCAGGAAACAGTTTTATTTGGCTGCAGCCAGGTTCAGAGGGCACAGCTTTTGCTGTAATCAATCAATCCTCTGAATCCCGAGTTCAGGGAGTTTCAGAGTTTTATACCCAGCATGTAAGGGGAAGGGCTCAGAAGTTCACATGAAAGCAGTTTTTTTTTTCCTTTCACTGTTCTGGGCATATTAACCCTTTGAGGACAACACCTGAGAAGGGAAGAGCTTCTTCTCCCCTTTCTTTCCTCCCCCTGCCAGCTGTTACCATAGAGCCCAATAGGGCTTATCTGAAAAATGTAGACATCTCTGTGAAGCCCCAGCTCAAGGCCAGAGGCCTTGTTTACACATTTCTACAAACTATGGATACATGTTTGTGAAAAACTAGTAAGGGGGTGTCCAGCACCTGGAGTGCTGATTTCTTCCCCGCCAGTGGCCAAGTAAAACAGAGCAACACGAAAATTGGAAGTTTATCTACATTGAGCTCTTCTGTAGACTCTTTTGCTGACAGTCCTAAACACAGCCATGGTAAAGATTTCTGGAGAAGCCCAGTTAAGACTTTTCTGTGGAGAAAGGGGGTGCCACGACAGTTCCAACAATCAGTCATTTACAATTGATGACATGGCGGCAGTTCCCAGAACAGAGGTGTGCGGGAGCAATAGCACTGGCTGAAGGAGTCACAGGACTAGTCTTGAAATTGGGACTTTAACTTTCAGGGAGAAGAGAGTGGGGACAGAGTGTGTGGGCTCATGGGCTCCCTCTGGGGCAGAGTGGGAGGTAGCTGGGTGGTGGGGAGCTCAGAAGGACTATTGCAATAGTTAAGGAGAAAGGTAATGAGGCCAGAGGTGGTAGAACCAGAGAGATGAGAGAAATTTCTCCTCACCAGGTGCCCCAGGATTGTACAGTCCTGGCCACTTGCAGGCAACATGAGTGAATGAACTACCTGGACCAGGTGACAGATACATGATGATGACAGTGCATGCTGAATGTACACAGCACGTACTCTTCCTTCAAGACAGGCTCCCTGTCCTTCTGACAAACCTTCCCAGGGACTAACCCATCTGCCAGGCACTGTGAGGTGTGCTTTTTAGATAGATACTAGTTGACTTAATCCTCCCAAACTATGATCTCCTTGAAGAGATGAGGAAATTGAGGTTCAATCCAAGGTTAGCCAATTTAGGCAGTGGGCAGATCCAGGGAGCTGGGTTTCACTTCCCCTGGCCTGGTACCCTAAGTGCCTCACCTTAAACATCCGGTCAGTGTGCTTTCCAGCCAAGTCCTTAAGAAAGTCAAGTCTGGGGGCAAGTGGCCTCAGACTGGGGTGTCTGCCCTGCACACCCAGAAGGGTGAATGAAGTTCAATAAGTACATGCCTTCCCCAACCTCACCTCCTGACAACTCCCTGCCATAATTCTGGCCTTTCCCATACTGTCCAGGGAAGTCTGGGGAGGGAGGACAGAGGCCTGGTTTCTGTTGGACTCAAACTTCCCACCTCTGTCCAGTCCACCTTCTTCTCTCCAAGGCCTCAGAAAGGCAGACCCAGTTTCCAGGCCCAACTCTGCTCCTAGATGCATTTGGGGGCCTCAGGTTTTCCACTGGAGAATGGACTGAGGACACCCAAAAGTTCAATATGATGCCCTATGCTTCATGCTTGGGACCATGCAGAGGAAGGCATGGGGTGCTAAGGCCATGGAAAAGGGAATTGGTGGCTCTTTGTGGGCTGGAACTGAAGCTGCATATCCCCTGGGACAGCTGGACCCCTCTGCTGTGCTACTTCCCATTCAGCTGACCAGGGAAAACAACCTCAAAGGGCTCAGGAGAAGCCTGGTAGGAAGCAGTATGTGCCAGGCCACCTCCCCAGCCTCTGGAAGGGAGTGTGCTCTGAACAGCCTGGGGCCCAGATCCTGTGCAGGATGTGGAAAGACAGGCCACCTGATCCAGGCCTGGAGGGGCCGAGGGGCCTGATCTTTGCTTCCTTGAATGACACCTGTTAGACAGACAGAGCCAGGCTGTTCTCTCCCTCTGTCCCCCAGCTCTACACCCATGCCTGCTATCTGTAGCTGCCTTCTCTGGGTGTTCAGCACCTATTTTTTTTCCCTCCCAGTTCTAGGGATTGAACCCACGGGTGCTCTACCACTGAGCTATGTCCCCAATACTTTTTTTTAAATTAAAGATGTTTTTAACATTCTTTATTTATTTTAATGTGGTGCTACCGCTGAGCCATAACCCCAGTCCCTCCAATCCTTTTTTTTTTTTTAAAAGAGAGAGAGAGGGAGAGAATTTTAATATTTATTTTTTTTTTTTTAGTTTTTCGGCGGACACAACATCTTTGTTTGTATGTGATGCTGAGGATTGAACCTGGGCCGCACGCATGCCAGGTGAGCACGCTACCGCTTGAGCCACATCCCCAGCCCCTCCAATCCTTTTTATTTGGGACAGAGTCTAAGTAGCCCAGGCTGGTCTCAAACTTGATGGTTCTCCTGCCTCAGCCTCCTGAGTTGCTGGTGTTATAGGCATGTGCCACCTGCCAGGCTCAGTCACTTTCTTGGTGTTTCTTCAATCAGACCTCTCTGGCCCCTCTCCCCTGCCCACTTAGTCTTTGATGTTGCTGAGCGCCAGGGGAGGTGTTTTGATTTTTTTCCTCCTGCTGGGATGTTCTGAGATACTTAATACTTGACCATCTCCTCCCTGCTTCCCCCTGGCCACCTGGTGCAGGGAAAGAACATGGAAAGAGGGTAGGATGGGGGACAGGGGGTGTCAGAAGATCTTGGATATATCACTGCATTCCTAACCCTAGAAAGGGGTTGGAGGAGGGGAGGGAGTGGGCTTGTAACACCTGTTTCTTGAGTTTTCAGTTTCCTCTCGCTCTCCTCTTCAGGGAATATCTTGCTAAGACAAATCATTCTTTTTTTCTTTTTATTTTATTCATTTATTTATATGTGGCACCAAGAATTGAACCCAGTGCTTCACGCATGTATGGCAAGCACTCTACCACTGAGCCATAACCCCTGCCCTGACAAGTCAATTCTTCTTTCAAGTCATCTCATGTGTGTCCACCATCCAGTCCTCTCCCTGCTGTCCCAGCCCTCCTTGGCCCATTTCTTTTCCCTGAGTATTCCGTAAACCAGGCTACTTCCTCTTCCAAAATGAAACCCCATACCCATTAAGCAATGCCTCCTCACTTCTCCCTCCCACAGCCTCTGGCTCTAATCTGCTTTCTGAGTGGACTTAACCTAGTTCATTTAAGTAAAATCATACCACACTTGGCATTTTGTATCTGGTGTCTTTCACTTAGCATAATATTTTGGAAATCCGTCCATGTTGTAGCATGAATCAGCATTCCATTTCTTTTCATGGTTGAATAATATTCCATTGTATGGATAGAACACATTTTGCTATCCTCATCAGCCTGACAACTCAGGATGTTCCACCTTTTGGCTATTGTGCACAGTACTGTTATGAAAACCAGAGTATGAGTACCTGCTTTCAATTCTTTGGGGCATATACTTAGGAATGGAATTGCTGGGGCATATGGTAACTCCGTGTTTAACTTTTTGTTTCAACTCTTGAATCTGAATGCCTTTGGGTATCCAGCTCTGTCTCTGTTTCCACCTATTTTTGTCGTCTTTCACCCAGCCCGGTTCGACTCATTTACATTATATGGCCCCTGAAGGCATCTGAATTTGCTATCCCTACATTAAACAACCCCCCCCCCCCGTGCCCAAATCAGCTGCTGAGAACTAGCTGAAGGCGTCGAGCAAATCTCTTTACCTTTCAGAGTACTACTTTGGCTCAGCCTCAAAAAATGAAAATAGTGCTTACCTGATAGGAGGCGGCAAGGATCAGAGAGGTGATGGACCCAACGAGCCTCTCCCGAAGCTGTTTAGTTCTGGCAAGAGAGAGAAAGGCGGGTGAGGACAGGAGGAACTGGAGGAGGAGGAGCGGGCGAGCTGGCCAGGAGACTTCTGGGGCCTCGGCGGTGCTTGAGGCTTCGAACCCACCGGGTCGGAGCCGGCGCGCCCAGAGGTGGCAGCCCAGCGGTGCACAGCTGCTAAGGGACCCTAGGCCCCAGCAGATCAGTACTGGTCTGTGAGCCCCGACTTGGGGCGGGGCTCAGGTTGGATTACCGGTGGGCGGGCGCTGTCCCCCCGTCCCCGCCCCCCACATCCGGGGGCCGGGGCCGGGGCCGGGGCTGGGCTCTGGGCTTGCCGCGCGCCAGTGAGTCAGGCCGGGTTTTCCCTCCTCCTCCAGGGCAGGCGAGAGAGTGCCGCCGATCGCGTCTCTTCCTCGCCAATCCGGCTCCGGCGCCTGTCCGCCCGCCCGCCGCCCGCGTTTTCTAGGTGCCTGCCTCACGGCAGCTCTGGCCCGACTCGCAGTCTCTGCTGGAATCGGCGCTTCGGAGGAGAGTTCAAATCCGCCCAAAGGAACTGCGGCGCACCCGGGCGCGGAGCGGCGGTCGGCGAGCGCTGCGCCAGCATGGTAAGTGGGGCGCGCTAGGGGCCGGAGGATGGACGCGCGGGGCAGGGAGAGTCGCCGAGTTCTCGCTTTTCGGGTGTCCTTGGCCACATTGCAACCCCTAGCTGGCCGAAGCTCCCGTCTGAAAAATGGGCGGGGATGGCAGCGTGCGGTGTGCGCCCAGGTGTCTTCAGCTCCTGGGCCCCGGGTTGCGCTGGAGAGGCAGGCGGCAGGCGGCAGGCGGCAGGCGGCAGGTTACGCTCTTCTCTGCAACCCCTGTAAACGCGCTTTTCTTGGAACATCGCCCAGGACCCCTGCGCCACCGCTGGGTGGGGCAGGCGCCCTTGGCGAAGAAGTCTGACCTCGGCCTCCGCCCCCTTGCCCAGCGACTCTCGTCAGGCCCCAGGAAGCAGGAGGAAAGAGGAGCGTCCCCCCACCTCGCCTCCTAGGTAGCTCGAGGACTTCCAGTGGTTCTGGGGATTCCTTGCCTTCTCCACTGCCTTCCTGGGGACAGTTCTGTGGGGGATGTCAACCTCCTCTTCTCCGCCTTCCCCTCTCACCCGCCCCGCCCCCAGTATTCCTCCTTTCTCCCCCTAGTCCCTTGCCCGGTCCCGGCGACAGCTGCGGACTTGAGGATAGGGAACATTCCTGGGTCTTGGCGATTTGGACACTGTACCATTCCGGGCCAGAGCCTTTGATCAAAGCGAGGGCCAGTCTAGGACCAGGTGGAAATTAGGGCTCTAGATATATCCGGAAGGAGAACTGAGACACCCTTACCCCCAGCCCATAGGAAGAGATTGGGCCTGGCCGTCCTGGGGCAGGAGCAGAGGCAGGAGACCATTCTGAGCTCTGTGAGCACCCTCTTTCCAGTGCCCTCCCAGGCAGGACTCCTTTGCCTACTGGCTGCGTGTGGGTGTGTTAAGTGCGAGACTGAATGAATGCCGCCAGCCGGCTCCCGCCACCGCCTCTAGCAGCTTCCAGAGCTTAGAGTCCTCATGCCAGCCACACTTCCACTATTTCTTCCTGACCCTCAGGGCCAGGTAGGAGGGATCCCAGGCCAAGGGGACTTCCATCCAAACTAGCCTGGTGGCAGATGCCCTTGGGAGAAACAGGCGGGGGTGGGGGGGAGGGGGCTGGGCAGTCTACATAATACAGCAATGTCCATAGAAGGTGACCGACCCTTGGCTGAGACAGCCTGATGCAGTACAGAAGGCTTTACCCAGAGAGTTGAGATTGCCTCTCACTGTGGGATTTTGGGCAATTAATTTCCTCTTTCTAGGCTGTAAAGTCCAGATAGGGTCATCACTGCCCTGCCTGCCTCTACTAGCTGTTGTGAAGATGACATGAGATAACAAAGTGGAAGGGCTGAGAAAAACTGTAGTGTGCTGTGCACCTGTGAATGACTGCACAGGTTAGTTGCTTGCAGAGGTCAGCTGCCAGGCTGCGCCTTTTCAAGTGTCTCATGGGGATTGAGTATGCCAGCCTCTCCCATTCCCTCTCCAGGCCCCATCACACACTGCCCCCTCTTTTGGAGCTGGGACATTCCAGTCTCATTCCTTTGGGGCAGCTGCAGACACACCCCTCAGCCTGGCTGATCCTCCAGCAGGTGGTGGGACCCTCCCCTGGGGCCAGGGCTCTGGAAGGCCTAACCCAAGCCAAAGCGGGCAGGACTCACCCATATGGGGGTTGGGATGTGCATGGAAGAATTGGGAAGCCTGTGCACTTTCTCCTATGCAGCTGATCATGACCTTGGACACATTATTTCCCCTTCTGGGCCTCAGTTTCCTCTTCCGAAGTGAGGGATGTCAATACTCCCCTCCTATGTGCATTTCGAAGAAGGGATAGTCCTCAGGGTCTGGAGCTGAAATGTCCCAGTGCATGTCCTCTCTTCCTTTGCTTGGTGGCCAGGGCAGCACTGTTCTACCAAGGGTTGGTTTGAAAGAGCTGTGCCTCTATGTTCAGGGCTGTCCATGCCATCTGCTAATCTTGGGGGTAAAGTGGGAGGGGAACAGGAGTGAAAAGTCCCTTCTGGAGCCATCTGGGGCCTGTGAAGGATGTCCCTCTAATGACCTAGCCTAAACCCAGCCAGTGGATGGTGGTGGATTTTTAGCTCTGTGCAGAGATCTGGGCAGGCACAGAAGCCTAGTCACTTCTGCTCTCTTGTCTTTCTGTGCCTAAGTCCCAGGGAGACTGCATGGTACTTGCTGTCTCTCCCGCCCTCCTCTTTCACCAAATCCTCTCCAGCCCCGCCTCACAGCCCTGACCTGAGCAGACATTCCCCCGGGCTTCCAAGCAACGCCAGGGAGGAATGTCTGTGTGTTTGGGGGAGGGTGTGGAGGTGGGATGGATCCTTTAGGAAAAGGGATTGCTCCTAGATTGAGACCTAGGCAGAATGGAGCCTTCTTCTTCTTCTTTTTTTAAGAGAGAGAGAGAATTTTAATATTTATTTTTTAGTTTTCAGCAGACACAACATCTTTGTATGTGGTGCTGAGGATCGAACCCGGACCGCACGCATGCCAGGCGAGCGCACTACCGCTTGAGCCACATCCCTAGCCCATGAATGGAGCCTTCTTGAAGCAAGGGATTCAACCCTGCTGTGGAAGCTGAGAATATAGCTAGAGACGTTACCCAGGAGGGGTGGACAGTGGAGGGTGGGGGCTTAAGGAAAGACAAAGGGAAGGGCACTCTTTGTGCCCTTCAATCCCTGTACTGCTTCTAATAGCTGGCCTCACACTCCCCATTCAGCATCAGCACACGAACATGTGCGTACACATTCCTAGCCAGGTGCGGGGAGGATCCCTCAGTCTTCATGCTGGGGTGTTCCTCTGTTAAGTCTGTGTCCTTGAAGGTGCTCAGTGCTATGTGGTGACCTTGTGCATGATACTATGGCTGTCCTGTGTCCTGTACCATAGGTTTCTCCATGCTGAGTGGGGACATTGTGTTCCCTGTGTGTTCATAGGCATTGTTATGGTCCATGGCTACAGCTGCTCCCCTGTACTTGAGACCCTTGCTGGGACCCATAGTGTCAGCGTGTCAGTTATTTATCCCTGAGGACAGAAGTGAGCATTGCCAGGGGAAGGCTTGGTGGTATGGGTTTGGAGTGAGGTGGGTGTATTTGGCTTCACTGCCAATATCCCAATCCCCTAGTCACATGGGGACTTAACAATTTGTTCACAAGCTCCTTTCACTTCCATTTGACATTGACTGTCATGGTAACCCTAGAAGGAAGGCAGGGCAAGATGTGGAAACTGAGGCATGTCAAAGGGAGATGTATTGGTGCCTAGGGTCCCACAGAGAGAGAAAAGGAGGGGCAGCTGAAGATCAGCTTCTTTGCTGTCCTCTCTCTGAGGAGTGACAGATCAGTGCACCTTTAAATAGAGTACTGTCTTTCTGGGCAGAGGTGTTGTAGCAAGGGGCTGTCAGGTAGGGAGGCAAGATGACTCACTTTCAGTTCTTTTGGCTGTGGGTGACATTCTGGGTCCCCAGTAGACATTAGGTAGTCATGGAGTTGGAATCTCAGGCATCCTCACCCCAGTAGCTCTGTGACCTTGGACAAGTCACTTCACTTTTCTGAGCTCCAGGGACCTTAACTTTAGAAAAGGACATTAACTATGTCACAGGAAGTGCCTTATCACTGAAGGAGCCCAGCACCTGTGATTCCTTAGCTGGATGAATCTCCTGGGGCTGGGGTGTACTGACTCAGTCTTATCCCCCACCTCAGGGCTGGGGTCTGGGAGAAGAAGACTGAGAAGATTATTTTTGCCCAGGGTGTGGTTGAGAGCTGTAGAGTGGGGGTAGGGGACAGGGCCCACCCTCCTTCTCCCTTTCAGAGAGCTTTGTCTTCCACAAACACAAAACCTGGAAATGGTTAAGGAAGATGGAGCCTCCTAAGGACCATTGTTTTGGGGTGGGAGTGGGTGTCCCGGAAGTATATTGGATGGGTGGTGGGGGACTTTCAGCTGCAGCCTGCCTGCTGGGCATCTGTTCTGGAATGGGAGAAGGGACAATGGGGTAGGAGGCAGAAAAGGAGGCATTCACACAAGTCATTTGTATCTGCGTTAGGGTGGGCATTGGGCTGAGCACATGTTCCATTGGGGACCCTAGGTACCCACCCATTTCACCTTCCAGTGTGTCAGGCCCAGCACAGGTGGGAATAAGCCTGGTCACTTGGCAATGTTTGTGTGTGACTAAGCTCTGCTTCAGCCAGCCTGTGTTGACCCTGGCTGCGGGCCAGGCCCTGGACAGGGTGCTTTGTCATGTTATCTCACCCTATCCTTCCAGCGTCCCTCTGTGATAAGAGCTATCATTGCCATTGTACATATGCATGAAGCCAAGGCTTATAGAGGTTAGGGGCATGGCCAAGGTCACACACCAATTGGTTCTGCTCTGGGTCAGGATATGAAACCTGTTTGGCCTTGTGGTGGGTTTTGGTGTAATAGCAGCAGCACAACACGCATAGCAGGGGTCTAGCCGCCCCTTCCCTCTGCCTCCCACCACTGCCCAGACCTGAACACCTGTTCCGGAAAACTCAACCATTGTTCCTCCCTTAGGCTCTTCCTGTTAGTATCGTCATCCTTCCTCCCTGTGGGCCCTTCCTGTTTGTATCCCTCCCACTGTAGCCCCCGACCCCACCCATGCCAGATGTTTCCCTGAGGGAGCTCTGACCCTTTACTGGAAGAGAGGCTGGACAGGTTATCTCAAGGGAAGGAGAAGAAATAGAGTCCATCTGGGGCTGGGAGTGGTGGTGCACGCCTGTAATCCCAGCAGCTTGTAAAGCTGAGACAGGAGGATTGCGGGTTCAAAGCCAGCCTCAGCAAAAGCAAGATGCCAGGCAACTCAGTGAGACCCTGTTTTTAAATAAAATACAAAATAGGGCTGGGGATGTGGCTCATTGGTTGAGTGCTCCTGAGTTCAATCCCCAGTGCTCCACCTGCCCCCCCCCCCACCGCCAAAAAAAAAGAGTTCATCTGGGAATTGGAAGGAATAGAGAGCCATTCTCGACTGGTTCACTATGCTTCCTCCCCATTCAACAAATTTGGTTGGGACCTTGGCAGGAGAGTTAGCAAGGTCAGGGTCAGACAGCCTGAGTCCGTCCTCTATTAGCTCTTTGCTGGCATGGTCTCGAGAGGTGGGCCCTTGTCCTACTGCTTGAGGTCTTCCTCCCACCATACCCACTTATCATGCTTCCACATTGCACACAGGACTCTAGCTGGAGCTGTCCCTTTGGTACTCCAACTGAATGTTAGATGAGCAGGAGGCTTTGGGACCTGTATCCCTTTCTCTTGCCAGTTTGGGAGTCATGTCCTGTCATTGTCTCTGATTCCTACCCACATCTGCCTCTCTTGGGCCTGGGCAGGTAGAAGAGCTGGCAGATGACAAGTGCCTGGTTTTAGGGAATCTGGGGATTTGGGCAGTGAGTGCTCACCTGCCCCTAATGGAACCTCCTGATTCCCCAAAGCAGCTGCCTGTGCCCTGTTGAAACTTCATGGCCACAGCCCCAGGCCCTGCTGGCATTGCCATGGGCAGCGTGGGCAGCCTGTTGGAACGTCAGGACTTCTCCCCTGAAGAGCTTCGGGCAGCACTTGCTGGGTCTCGAGGCTCTCGCCAACCTGATGGACTCCTCCGGAAAGGTTTGGGCCAGCGTGAGCTCCTTAGCTATCTGCACCTCCCCAAGAAGGATGGCAAGACCACCAAGCGGGCACCTCGGAATGAGCCTGCTGACTATGCTACCCTCTACTACCGGGAACATCCTCGGGCTGGTGACTTCAGCAAGACTTCACTGCCTGAGCGGGGTCGCTTTGATAAGGTGTGTCTCTGCTGATGTCCTTTATGTGGCACAGGGAAGTTGGAGATGGGCAGCTTGGGGCCTCCTTGGAGACCCAGTTGCTGGGATGGGATGAAGGTTGGATGGGCTAAGATGTGGAAAGCCTGCCGTAGACTGGCTTGAGCCTTGGTTAATTCCTCCTGGTGGCATGTGCCCCATGTTCTCACAGAGGATTCCCAGGGGCTACAGGAGCATCAGAAGGGTAGAGCAGAGTTTACTATACTCACAGACCTCCCTCACACCTGCCCTCTCTTTTTGGCAGTGCCGCATCCGCCCATCAGTGTTCAAGCCTACAGCAGGTACCGGGAAAGGCTTCCTCTCCATGCAGAGCCTGGCTGCCCACAAGGGTCAGAAGCTATGGCGCAGCAATGGTAGTCTGCACACGCTGGCCTGCCACCCACCCCTGAGTCCAGGGCCCAGGGCCAGCCAGGCTCGTGCACAACTGCTGCATGCCCTCAGCCTGGATGAGGGTGGCCCTGAGCCTGAGCCCAGCTTGTCTGATTCCTCCAGTGGGGGCAGTTTTGGCCGCAGTCCTGGCACAGGTCCCAGCCCCTTCAGCTCCTCCTTAGGCCACATTAACCACCTTGGGGGCTCCCTGGACCGGGCCTCGAGGAGTCCCAAGGAGGCTGGGCCATTGGCTGTGCTGAGCTGCCTGCCTGAGCCACCGCCCCCCTACGAATTCTCCTGCTCCACTGCAGAGGAGGTGGTAGCCCTGCTGCCTGAGACATGTGAGGATCTCAAGAGGGACCTTGGAGATCAGGATGGCTCCAACCCCTTCACACAGGTGAGTGAGCCCCATCCTAGGGTCCTATTCTGTCCCTTGGCATTGGTGTATGTGCCAGACTGAGGGACCCCAGATGGTTCACCCACATGTCTCTGGGAAACACTGGGTGTAGTAGCATACACCTGTAGTCCCAGGTACTTAGGGGGATGAGGCAAGAGGATCTTGAGTTCAGGGCCAGCTTGCGTGGCCAAAACAGTAAGACCCTGTCTCAAAAAAAGAGGGAGTGGAGATGTCTTGGCTTCTGTCTTCTAATAACTGCCCAAGGAGTTATTGGTGGAGGAAGTGTTAGGGTGGTGGTGAGCTATGGGAGCACAGGTGGATTGCATCCAAGGGGCGGAGCCTTGTGGAAATCTAGGCATGGTTGGTCAGCCCTTCTGTGAACATCTTTCTCGTGACAGGTGCTAGAGGAGCGCCAGCGGTTGTGGTTATCTGAGTTGAAGCGCTTGTACGTGGAGCGGCTGCATGAGGTGGCTCAGAAAGCTGAGCGCAGCGAGCGCAACCTCCAGCTGCAGTTGTTCATGGCTCAGCAGGAACAGCGACGGCTGCGCAAGGAGCTCCGGGCTCAACAGGGCCTGACCTCTGAGCTTCGGCCCCCAGGTCCAGTTCCAGAGGCCGACTCCAGCAGCCGACCAGAGGAGGAAGCCCGATGGGAGGTGAGAGACTGCCAGGGACTCAGAAACACCCATCCCCACTGCCCTGGTCCCATTCTCCATTTCACCTCCCTCAACCAGCTCCCCACACCTTGGAGCATCTGGGTCTTCAAGGAGGCCCCAAGCTACTTTGCTTGGCCCTTGTTCATCCTGTGTCCCCCCCCCCCATCTCCCAGGTGTGCCAGAAGACCGCAGAGATTAGTCTCTTGAAGCAGCAACTGCGGGAAGCCCAGGCAGAGCTGGCACAGAAACTGGCTGAGATATTTAGTCTGAAGACGCAACTTCGGGGCTTCCGGGCACAAGCCCAGGCTCAGGACGCAGAGCTGGCCAGGTTGCGTGAGACTGTGCGCAGTTTACAGGAACAGGCTCCTCGGGAGGAAGCCCCAGGCAGCTGTGAAACCGATGACTGCAAGAGCAGAGGGCTGCTGGGGGAGGCAGGAGGTAGTGAGGCTGGAGGTGGTGCTGAACAGCTGCATGCAGAGCTACTGCAAGAACGGCTCCGGGGTCAGGAGCAGGCACTGCGTTTTGAGCAGGAACGGAGGACTTGGCAGGAAGAGAAGGAGCGGGTGCTGCGCTACCAGCGGGAGATCCAGGGGGGCTACATGGACATGTACCGTCGCAATCAGGCACTGGAGCAGGAGCTGCGGGCACTACGGGAGCCCCCCACGCCCTGGAGTCCTCGACTTGAGTCCTCCAAAATCTGAGGCCAGCAGAGCAAGCTGACAGCAGATGCACTGTCCAAGATGCCCTGAGACAGCTGACCCCTCCTTTCACTGGTCTGGGGCAGAATGTGCAGAGGCCGACCCAGGGATGGGAGGCCCCCAAGAGGAAGGATCCAGGTGGGGGCGATGGGCAGGATAAGGTGCTGGCTACAGAGCCAGGGCTAGACCCTTCTGGCAAAGAAGCACCCAGGCAGGGCCCAGCCCTGCTCCCTGGAGTGGGTGTGGCCCAATGAAGGAGATTAGAGAATCCAGAGGCACTGATAGGGAAGGGCAGGTGTAAGGGAGGGTGGCTAGAGAGCTGGGCTGAGGCCTTCCTTAATGGAAGGAGGCTGGGATGGAAACATTGGCCTCCTCCAGAATAAAACCACCTTTTCTTTGAGGAGGCCCTGGGTGATATATTGAGCCTGCCCTTACCAGAGTCCAGTTTTATGGATAGTCAGGGTTGGGAGTTGACCTGGCCTGTAGCTCCTTTCATGGTCATGGTCATTGGGAGGTGTGCCCTGTGCCTGTCTGTGAAGCTGCTGATCATATGTGTTGGAGAGTGGAGGAATCCTATTTCCTTGCTCCAGTACCACACAGTTCCTTAGCTGCTGTGTGGGTTGAAATTCCTTTCTTAAGCACCAGTGGATTTTTCAGAAGGAACAATACTAGGGAACTACAAAAAAAAAAAAAGGGCGAGTCAAAAGGCATTTCAAGGATATGAAATGTTCCTTTTGGTGGAAAATCTGGGCCCTGGTTGCCCAGGCCTCTGCTGGATTGGGGCCAGCCTAAGACAGCATCCTGTGGGGGCATCCAAAAGCTCCTGTGAGCTCTACCTCTTCTGGAGCCCACCTCCTATCTTTCTGTCCAGCTGTGGTGTGCCTCTCTCTTCATGGGTGGGTGAGGGGGGAGGTTTAGGAACGTGCAGAGAATCTTGGCAGGGAAAGCTTGTGGGTTATTTGGTAAAGGATCTTACCGGAAGGAATGGAACATTTCCCCATAAGCAATGGAAGGCTATTGGGTATTTTTAGGTAGGAGTGAGATTTGATCTAATTTGTATTCTGGAAAGCTCTTTCTTGAAGAAGCAGCCCCACACTTCCCACCTCTGTTCTTTACCTGGCCTTGGAACTGTCAGTCCTCTTGCACTCCTGCTGATGGTCTCAGGTTCTAGAAAACCCACAGCTACCCCAGTCCCTCAGCAGTCTTGGGACTTTGCTCCCCTCCAGGTGGTGACCTGGTGCAAGTGGAGTCTTCCCTATCTTTTGAGAGAAGCTCAGCTTATTACACATATATCATTGGAGTGGCTATATGCATCTAGTGCTTACTGTTTCTCTGGTTGGACCCTTGAGCTTGGGGCCACAGGGTGAATTTGATGTGCTTCCTGCTTAAGGGTAGCTAGCACACAGTCATCTGCCCTCCAATCCTTGTTCATGTAGGGCCACTCAGGGAACCTCTTAGAAGTATTCCATGTAGCCAGACATGGTGGTGTACACCTCTAATCCCGGCGGCTCAGAAGGGTGAGGCAAGAGGATCACAAGTTCAAAGCCAACTGTGGCAACTTGGTGAGGCCCTAAGCTGTCTCAAAAAATAAAAGGGCTGGGGATGTGGCTTAGTGATTAAGCACACTTGGATTCAAATCACAGTACTCCTCCTGCCCCCAAATAAAAAGTATTTCATGTAGAAACCCAGGCTGCTCCCTTTGGCTGACCCTTGGTCTTCCCAGGCTATTCCTGACATGCCCCCCATCAGGCCCAGTAGGTGGATCCTGGTTGTAGAGTTTGCTGGAGTGTGGACTACATCCCAGCCTCCTTGGGAATTGTGGCACATGAGTTGATGGGCTTCGCCTTTTTTGGGGCCATGAGTGTAGCGTGTGACTTGTCGGGGGGTGCTGTGTTTATGGCCCTGTGAAAGGCAGATGTGTTTGTGGGTGGTGGGTGTGCCCAAGGAGGTGTGTTTGGGGCACCTGGCCTCCAAAAGCCAGCTCCTGAATTGGAGGCTGGGAAAGCTGCTTCCTGGCTCTCCCTGCCAGGAATCAGCTTCACCGGCCAGGCCTGGGTCAATCCTGTGTCCAGGATGGAGCCCTGAGCCTAACTAAGACCCATTTAAGTTCACTCCTGAGCTCAAGTCTAATGCCTGAGGAGGGAAAGGTGAAGTATCTGGGTTAGGCATGCCAGTCCCCCCAGATCTTAGGGTATTCCTATTTCATAGGCCCCTCTAAACCCAGATCTCTGGGCCAATGGACCCCTTGAGGTTTTCCCACTTCCTGGACCTGCATGCTGGCTTGAAGCCTAGATTACTTCCTCCCTGTGTCCAGGAGCTGGTTAGGCTGGGTGCCCACTTGTCCCAGAGTGGCTGGGGCCCACCTTTTGGTATACCAGCTCTGCAGAACAGCTCTCCACCCAGTAATTAGGGAGCTGGGCCGGCCAGTACAGCCAGCGGGGAGTGGGTGGGCGGTACCAAAACTTGGCAGCGGTGCCAGAAACCAAGGCCAGGCCCAGAAGAAGGGGGAGGGTGCCGGAGAGCTAAAGCTGTGGTGTCTCAAAACCAGATACCGGTTAGTTCATCCGTGCTGGGCAAACCAGTTCCCTGGTCCCCGGGCAGGCTGAGTGGCTCTAGGGCCAGCTGATCACAAGTGTCACTGTCACTATCATTGTCACTGTTGTGGCTACTGCTTTGGGGAAGCCCCTCCCTTCTACTTCTGGCTGGGCCCTCAGCTGCTCTCAGGCTCAGCTTTCCCCTGGAATCCCCTTCCCCAGCACATCTGACCCAGGCAGCCAGATCTGCACTGTGCTCTCTGCCTCAGATCCTCACTTAAGTATTACACTTTCTAGCAGCTCTCTGGGCCCCTAACCCCTCACGGAAGGTCTCTGACTCTGGTCTCCAGGATCACTGATAGCAATGCCCCTTCCAACCTCAGTGAACGCCACAGTTTGACTTAGCCCTCTGGATGTTCTACCTCATTCTGCAGGTGATCCTGGACTGAAAGACTTGCAAGGAGGGACAGACACAGGGAGGGGAGGCAGGGCACCATTTTGGAGCTACCTGGAGGGTGGAAGAAAGAAGTGAGGGTTTGAGTAAGTTCTGGACCTGGCCAGGGAGGCAGAGAATCAGCTGTCTTCCTGGGCTGCCTCCTGGTGTCCGTCATTGCACACAGAAGGCAGGAAGTGCTCAGGTCTTGCTTTCTCAAGGAAGTCCTTCCTGGACTACCCACCTCCTCTGCAGTGCTTACACGTCCATATGTCTCTCCATCAGCTCTTTGCAAGCTGCTATATTTCTTGGTTTTTCTCTGTCTCCAATGAGCTGAGGGTATTGCCAGAGCAGATCAGTGTCTTCCATTCCCCACCCCCCCCAAGCCCACTCTGGTTCCAGCCCCAAAAGGCACTTGGAGAGATGTAGAAGCAGGGTGACCAGAGCCCTCCCCTGAGTAGGAAGGCTTTGAGGTGAGAAAGTGGGGAAGATAGGGAAGGCTCTAACTCTGAGCTAATTGTTGATACATACCTGTTCTGTGCCAAGTCTATGTCAAGCATGGGGTTCCAGAGCTAGTTACTATTCATTCTATAGGGGTGTTTGAGGGCCTCCCTCTGGGCCAGATGTCATTCTCAGGCGAGTAAGCCATACTAACAAAGTTCCCTGCCCTTTGACACTTGTGTGTAGAGGAGGGAGACAGTGTGTGTCCATACTGTTGAAGGTCGTTCCAGATAGTGACCAGGTCCAGACAGGAGATGAAGAAGACAGAGGAGAATTGAGCTCAGGTACACTGACACAGGACAACAGGGGCCGCCATGTCATCAAACAAGTGAGCCGAACATGGAAAAAGGGAGCATGAAAATACATTTCTCTGAGACTGGAGGAATGTAGATTTTAGGGAACCTTTTTGCAAAGAGGGTGCAGGCCTCTGTAGGCGATGACATAGGACATATGGAAGTTTGGGGCAGGTTCCAGAGAGGGTCTTGTGTGGAATTTTAGGAGGGGAACAAGGAGAATGGGAAGCAAAGCAGATCCTGGTCAGTCTGGTAAGCTGGTGCAGGATTCCCTGAGCAGTCAAAGGAAAGGGCTAAAACCAGGACCAGTTTTCTGTGTGTAAGACCTGTGCAGCACCCAGGGCCCCTACAGTTGGTATTATGCTCTGCTGTTGCCATCTTGAACTTCTTAAGAATGTTTGAACAAAAGGCCTCACATTTTCATTTTGCTCTGTGTCCTGCAAACTAGGTAGGTGGTTCTCGCTTGAATTTAGGACTTGCAAGGAGGGACAGATCAGGGAGAGAAGACAAGGCACTGTTTTGGAGCCACCTGGAGGGTAGAAGGAAGAGGTGAGGACTTAGGTGGGTCTTGAGTCTGGCTGGGGAGGCCAGAAAGGCAGCTATGGCTCCCCTTGGTTGGGCTTGGTTATTCCTGGATTTCATAGTGGAGCCAAAGGCAGTGGCTGCATCGCCCACCACTGCCCAACCTCCACCAGCCATAGGAGATCCCGTCTTTTTTTATCTCTGCCTTCTAGGACTAAGTGCAAAGAAAACTGCATTTCCAAGTGTGCATGTTCTACACCCCTCTATACTCCCCCTCCTGTGGTGGGGAATGAACCCAGGGCCTCACACATGCTAGGCAAGTACTTTGCCACTGAGTTACACCCCCAACCTACTAAGGTATAATTTGCACACAGGAAAATTCTTCCTTTTTAGGGTACAGTTTGGAGAGTTTTGACAAATGCAGAGTTGTATAAACAACCATATAATCAAGACATAGAATTATTACATCACCCCTCAAAATTCTCTTTTCTGCTCCTTTGTGGTCAATTTCTCCCCTACCTCCAGCCCCTGGTAACTACTGAACTGCTTTGTCAATAACTTTTTTTTTTTTCTTTTTGTGAGAGATGCTTAAGCCCACCTATCTAATATATGGTATCAGAACAAAGTAGCAAGAAAAACAATAGGATATTGGTATAAAAATAAATAGGACGAGGAACCAGAAATAGATTCCATTTTGTAGAAAAAAATATGATAAAGAGATTGCAAAGGAGAAAGTAAGGAAGGAATATTTAATAGGGAGCCCTGGGTTAACTACAAAATTGTGTGTGGGTATCATACTTCGCAGCATCCCTTTTGAGATAAAATGGACATTGGGTTATTATTTTATGAGTTAAATTTTAAAAATCAAATCCTAGGAAATTGGCAGAAAGCTCAACAAACTATTGCTGAATTAATGGAGAGGAGCTAGTGAAGCAACTTGTTTGGAAGCAACCCCATCCCCTCAACAAAAACCAAATATATACAACCCCAATGAGAAAAGAATGATAAAATCAACTTTGCAGTAAAAGTTGGTGCACAGTGAAATTAACAAGTCTGAACACAAGGAAAATCACATATTGGGGAAGACAAGACAGCAAAGGTTAAACAGCCTGATGTGAGCGGTGTTTTCAAGGTTCTTCCCAACTTTGCCCACACCCCGCTCTGTAGGGAAGGCGGCCAGGGCTCCAGAGAAGAAGTAGGAAAGCCCAGGGGCGGTCTCCAAAGCCTGTGAGGTCCTGTCGGCTCCTGCTCAGCTTAGAGGCCGCCTGGCCTCCTTGGCCCCAAGCACGGTTCATTCAACTCTTCGCCCCCGCCGCTTCCGCGTGTGGGGCCAGGACCACCCAGGATCCGAGTGAGTGCACCGCCAGGCACCTCCAAGATGCTCCATCTGACGCCCCCGCGGGCATAGGGTCCCTCTCTGAACTGACTGGCTCCTCACCTGCTGTGCTTCCGAAGGTTTTTGAGCCAGGGTTTCTTCTTTCGTATGAGAATATCCGCTTCCTCCCAGCATCTTTATGCACCTACTGGTTTCTAGCAATGATGAACACAAAGTCCAGGTCCCAATGGAGCTTTTAATCTTAAAATGTAGGGGAGGCAGGGTTAAGGGCCAGAAGATAGATCAACAAGTAAACATAATTTCAAGTGAAGGTTGTAAAGAAAACAAAGCCAGATTGTGCAAGTGATGTGCTTTATTAAGAAAACAAAACAAGATTGTGCAAGGGGTGGGGGCAGGGAAGAAGAGGAGGTGTGAAGGGTTGCAGCCCGAATGACCTGGAGTGAAATCAACCATAAAAGGGAGCAGTAAATCAGGGAAACAGAGACCCAGGAAAACGGAGATTGAAACTTTATTGTGGGGCTATTTTTTGTTTAAGTCTTTGAGGTCTGAGGAGAGGGTGGGAGTTCTCTAGCCCTTCCCTTCAGAAGAAGAGGGCCTGGTAAATTCAGTTCTGACCTGGGTTTGGAGTCACCATCTTCTTTTTCCTTTCAGATACACCCTTCCTGCTTAGGACAGATGTGTCACCCTTACTGTAAGAAGGGCAACCCATGGAGGGCAGGAGGGCACATGCTGTGCCATCTTTCCTGTCCGCATAATTCCATTCTCAAATTGATTATCCTGTGGGCAGATTAAGTATGGGTTTAGTGTCTAGGAGTACAGCAGTTACTCAGAAGGCTGAAAAAGGAGGATGGAAAGTCAGAGGCCAGCCTGGATTACTCAGAAGACCTTCCCTCAAAATAAAAAATAGAAGCCTGGTATGGTAGTGCCTGTCTGTAATCCCAGCAACTCAGGAGGTTGAGGCAGGAGGATTGCTAGTTCCTAGCCAATCTCAGCAATTTAGGCCTAAGCTAAGCGGGATGTAGCTCTGTGGTAGGGTGCCCCTGGGTTCAGATTCCACTACCAAAACAAAACAACAACAAAACAACAAACCAGCAAGGACTTTTCTTCTAAACATTACTTGTTATCACACACACACACAAAAAAAAAAACAAAAAAAAACAAAAAATAAAACACTACGAAAAAAGCCTGCCTGCTGGATCACCCTTACATACATAGTGCTGTTTAGAGATATTTTATTATTATTATTGTAATTATTATTATTATTATTACTAGTACTACTACTACTTGTGGTTCTGGGGGCGGAACTGCAGGCCTTGCCCATGCCACACCCCCAGCGCTCTATTTACTTTGAATTACAGGTGACAGAAAGGAGGCAGGCATTTTTTTTTGCGTGGTTTGGGGCTTCTGAGCCGGATCCCGCAGCGCAGGAACCAAGGTGCACCTCTACCCTGTGGGCCGCCAGCCCCGCACACCCCCGCGGGCGAGCGAGTGGTTCGGTCTGATTCCTTCCCGCTATCTGGGAGGTTGGGGCCTTGTCCGAGGAACTGGGAGTCTGGGAGCGGGTTGCCAGGGCGCGACACAGGGTCTGCGACTGGCCGTCGGCTCCTGTGGGCGCATCCACTTTCGGCAAGAAGACCTGCCGCAGGCGAGTTAGCCGGCCATCCCCCACCCCCTGCAAAACCGCGCATGGGAGAGTCCAGACACTAGGTGCAACCGTCGCGACTTCCGGTTCCCATGACAGCGGCGCCGGAAGCCGGGCCCCGGCTGCAGGACTAGGTGAGTGCCCTGGGGCTTCTGGGCCCGGAGGTGAGGGCCCAGGGCCGCTGGCGGAGGCGTTGGGGGCGGCGAGGGGTGCGGCGGCGGGGCTAGCGCAGCGCGATCGGCTTCCCAGGCTCAGGGCCAGGGAGGCCAATTCATCCTTGGGCTTGTTCTCTTTGCAGTCTTTGGCCCCGGCCCGGGAGCTGGAGTCCCACAGAATCATAGGACTCCCCATCCTCGTAGAGCTTCCTCAAGGGGTGGAGTCGCTGGGTCCCATCCTAGTGCGACCCCCCTGGGTCGGAGGTAAACAGCTGCGGGAGGAGGGGTCCCCGGCAGGGCAGGGCATTTGAACCGGGTCTTTTGAAGGATAAGTGGGAGTTTGCCAGTCATTTGCTCATTAATGCAGATGTAATCTCAGTAGGGTCTTGCTGCTCAGCAAAATGGTGGGCTTTTTCCTCCTTCCAGTTTTGGTCAGTGAGAAAAGAGATTTGAAACTTCAGATAGCTATGTGCAATGAAGAAAAGGAACAGGGCCATATAATAGGGTGACTGGTGTGAGGTTGAGGCAGAGGGGTCAGCATTATATACTGTGGTCTAGGAAAGCCTTTCAAAAAAGATAGCATTTGTGTTGAGATCTGAATAAAAAAGAGCCGGCCGTGGGAAGAGATGGGAAAGTAATCCAGGCTGAGGGAAGAACCAGTACAAAGGCCCTGAGGCAGAAATAAATTGGATGTAGTGGGAAAAAAAAAAAAAAAAAACAGAAAGAAGGCTAATGTGGCTAGAATGAAGCATGTGAGGGGAAGAGTAGTGGGGTGATGAAGTTGGAAAGGTAGTTGGGTGGGGTGTGGGACTGTTCATGTAGAATCTTGTAGGCCAAATAGAGGGAGAGGATTTTATTCCATGTATGGTGGAAAAATCTATTGGTTTTGAGCAGAGGAATGTTATGTAAGGTAGAAAAGATATAAGGATGACGACTGTAAAAGTACAATAATTAGGTCAATGGAGGCAATGGAGATAAAAGGCAAAAGGGACTAGTCTGTGATTGGCACAAATTTCCCTTCTTCCCTCCCCAGGAGCCCTCTTGTTTTGGGATGCTTAAAACTAGGGGCAAAACTCCCATGCCTGCCTAAGTGAAGATTTAATACTTCCCTCATGTGTCTTTCTGTTCATACCTACAGGTTTGAGCTCAAGCTCTCTAGGTCAAAGATTAGGGAATGGATGCACTATTTATTTTAATTAATTATTTTGGTACTGGGGATTGAATCCAGGGATACTTCGCCACTGAGCCCATTTGCTCAGGGCCTCATTAAATTGCTGAGGCTAGCCTTGAACTTGTGATCCTCTGCCTCAGCCTTCTGAGTCTCTGGGATTATAGGTAAGAGCTACCATGTCTGGCAGATGCACCATTTAATCAGCAAGTACTTACTGAGCACTCATTCATGAACCAGGCCATGGACTGGGCACTGAAGGAAGGGAGAAGATGGGACTAATGTTAGTCTTTGAGAGCTCATAGTCCAGTGCAGGGAGATAGATGAATGAACAGATAGTTACTGTGTCACAGTAGAGACTCAGATGTGTGTGGTGCAGATGCCCCTGGACAGGCTTGGGAAGTAGAAAAGGAGGTAGGGAGAGGTCATTGAGGGTTTCATGGGGAGCTGATAATTAGCTCATATTCTCCATGCAAAAAAGAAATACATAAGATTCTCTAGAATAGGAACAGCTTGTGCAAAGGAAGTGAATACATAATTGCAAAGGGCTTGTGTATCAAGCCATAGCAGTATTGAGCAAAGGGGTGACAGGATCAGATGTGTGTTTTGGAACGATCACCCTGGTGGATAATTTCTGTACACTGAGGTCTTGGGGAGGGAGGCTTAGGATCAGTGGATGTGAAATTCCAGGCATTGGCATTTATATTAATCATGCAGTTTGTCAAAGACAAATACAAACATTCTTGTGTTTGGTGAAGATGATGGATTGATTTAAGCAGCATGGTTTGTTCCAAATGGACTGAATTAGCCTCTTGGGCTCTTTGGATTGAATACCTGTAGGGAGTCCTGGTTTCCTGACTCTTTTATTTTTAATTGAATTGAATTTGATTGATTGATTGATTGATTACTGTGCAGGGGATCCAACCCAGGGCCTTGCACATGCTAGCAAGTACTCTAATACTGAGGAACACTCCAGAGCCTCTTTTCAAAAATTTTTTTTTTTATTGAGTTAATAACACATTTCAGTTCACAGTATATTTAATTGGTCCATGCAGGTCCCTTTCCTTTTTTTCTCTTCTTGTATAGGGGATTGAACCCAGGGCCTTGCACATGCTAGGCAAGTGTTATGCTGCTAAGCTGCATTCCTAGCCTTTTCTTAAAAACAAAACAAAACAAAAAAAACCCAACTCACTAAATTGCCCAGACTGGCCTGCTTCAGCCTCTAAAGTTGCTGGGATTACAGTCATGCTCCACCACACCTGGAAGGGCCTTTTTCTTGTTTGCATTTATGTATGTATCCCCTTATTATCTCCATCCCTCCCTTTCTCCCCACTATAGGAAACCACTCTGATGTGTTTGGTGTATAGTCAGCCCTCCACATTCATGGGTTCTCATCTGTGGATTCAAGAGATCACAGATCAGAAATATGCAGAAAAAAAGTTGTGTCTGCACTGAAGATGTATAGTCTATTTTTTCTTGCCATTATTTCCTACAGTATAATAATTATTTATATAGCATTTACATTGTATTAGGTATTATAAGTAGTCTAGAGATGATTTAAAGTATAGGAAAGGGGCTGCTGGGGATGTAACTCGGTGGTAGAGTATGTGTTTAGCATGCTCAGGGCATAGGGGAGAATGTGTAGGTAATGTCAAATATTACATCATTATTTCTTTATTTTTTAGTCGTCGATGGACTTTTATTATCTATATGTGATGCTGGGAATCAAATGCAGTGCCTCACACATACGAGGCAAGAGCTCTACTGCTGAGCTACAACTCCAGCCCCTATGCCATTTTTTAAAAAATATTTATTTTTTAGTTGTAGTTGGACACAATACCTTTATTTTATTTGTTTATTTTTATGTGGTGCTGAGGAGCGAACCCAGGGTCCTGCATGTGCAAGGCAAGTGCTCTACTGCTGAGCCACAACCCCAGCCCCTCCTGTGCCGTTTAAAAAAAAATTTTTTTTTTTTTAGTTGTAGGTGGACACAGTACCTTTATTTTATTTATTTATTTTGAACCCAGTGCCTCACACATGCTAGGCAAGTGCTCTACCAGTGAGCCACGACTCCAGCCCAATTATGCCATTTTGTATTAGGAACTTGAGCACCCATAGTATCCTAGGGAAATCCAATCCCCTACAGATACCACCGGACACTGTTTATCCTTTTATTTGGTGTATATCTTTTATTTGCCTTAGTTGTATGCATATGTTTTAAGTTTTTATTTAAAACACCTGGACTTCATTTTATTGCCTGTACCTCATGATCATGCTTTGGGATCTTCCTGATGTGGCTGTGGATATATCTAGAATACAGTTTCTAAGTGCCACACAGATTTCCATATGTACACCCCCACTTTTTTACTTACTTACTGAATCTTCTAGTGATGAGGCCCCTAGATTTTTCTCCCAGTCTTTGCTACAACAAACAATGCTGGGATGAAAAGCCTATGCCCATCTCCTTCCTCAACACTCCTTCCCCACGAATGGGGCTTGAACCCGGGGGTGCCTAGCCACTGAGCCACATCCCCAGTCCTTTTTTATTTTATTTTGAGATAAGAGTCTTGCTAAGTTGCTGAGGCTGGCTTGAACTTGTGATCCTCCTGCCTTGGCCTTGTTTTTTATTTTAAGACAGGGTCTTACTAAGTTTTCAAGACTGATGTCGCTGGTGATCCTCCTGCATCAGCCTCGTGAATCCTTGGGATTATAAATTGTGCCACCATCCCTGACTCCTTCCTCAACTTTTTAATGAAGTCTCAAGATGCTGCTTTGGGTTTTCATGGTCCTCATGTCACTCGATATCCAACAGGACCAGACCTTTTGACCTTGGTAAGGTCCTGACCTTTTTGAGACATGTTTATTTTTGGTAAATTGTGACTCTGGTTCCCAGACACTTGGCAAACGTTCTTTTGTCTTGCCATCTTCCCCAGCAGATGGTTCTCACAGGCTCTGTGGTTAACTTCCTGTCTCTTGTTATCATTAATGGTTACTGTACATTGATTCCAACCACAAGTATTTGCTGCTTTCCTTTCCTAGTAAAATAGTGACCTGTTAAGCTGGTTCTGGCCATACTTGTAATATGAAGTACTTCAGGGACGGGCTCTGGAGCCTAGAGCCAGACTGCCCGGCTTCATTTCCCACTCCTCCGCTTCCCAGATGGTGTGACCTTGGGCAACTTATTTAATCTTTCTGTGTCTCATTTTCTCATCTGCAAAGTGGGTCTAATAACTGTACATACCTCATGGTGTTTTTGTGAGAATTAAATGAATGAGTTAATGCATGTGAAGTCATTAGAGCAATGCCTGGTACATAATAAGCTCTTATGAAATGTTAGCTATTAATAATAGCAATAAAATTTTCATATAATTTTAGATGGGAGTCTATGTTACCTTTTGCCCACACTGGCACATATCCAGTTATAGTGTATTTCTTTGGGGTAGGGTGGCATTTCTTCTGGACACCATGGTTACAAATTTTAGTGTGTTTGATAGCATCAGCTATAAGGAGAGAAGGTTAAACATATCCCAAGGCCCCAGGTGCCATTTCCTTTTTACTTGTTCCCTGTGTCTAGGGAGATAGGGTTATAGAATGGGACTGAGGTGATGAGGCCAGGACTAGTGGTTTTGCTGGAAATGGGGAAGAGTCTGGTGAAAGTGGGAAGATTCTGATGTTCATCTTGGACATAGGATTTTCTTTATGATGTTACTCTGTACCTCTTTTTGGTGTGTGTGTGGTGGGGTGGGTACTGGTGGTTGAACCCAGGGGGACTCCACCACTGAAATATACCCCTAGTCCTTTTTTTTTTTTTTTTTTTTTTTTTTTAAGAGAGAGAGAGAATTTTTTATATTTATTTTCTAGTTTTCGGTGGACACAACATCCCTGTTTGTATGCGGTGCTGCGGATCGAACCCGGGCCGCACGCATGCCAGGCAAGCGCGCTACCGCTTGAGCCACATCCCCAGCCCACCCCCAGTCCTCTTTATTTTTTATTTTGAGATGGGGGTCTCACTAAGTTGCCCAAGCTGGCCTTGAACTTGCCATCCTCCTGCCTTACCTCCCGAGTTGCTGGGATTATAGGTGTGCACCTGTACTCCTTAAGAGAATGACAACTGGCTAGATTTGACCATTTTAGAGGGATGTGTAAACAGTCCCCTCATTTCAAATCCTGTAGATATATGAGGAGGGAAATTAATTCTGTCACCAACATTTTGAAGATTGTGTGTTCAGTGTCAAAGCCTGCTCTAAAATGGTGGGGAGCAGTGACCTAGGGTGAGAAGGGTTTAAGAAGAGGGCTAGCTTCCTGTGACATCTGACAAACTGGAGAAAGATGGGCCAGAGAGCAGACCAGGGGGAAGCAACATGTATCAGGGCGTCGGGCTGTGAGAATTAGGGTTCTGGTTGGTTGGGCACAAGGTGCCTATCCATGAGCTAGCAGTGGGGGTTGGCTGACACTAGAGGGAAAGGCCAGGCCCATCAGACCAACATGGTTGGCAGTTATTCTCTAAGCTATATTTCCAAATATTATCCATTCAAGGATTGCCTTGAAGGTTTGTATCACTGTAGTATATGGATAACCAATTTCACAAACTGTAAGAGGTGGCCATAAGGAATATAAGAAATACATGAGATATGACCCTGTGCAGTGTATGGGTTTCTAGTTAGACTGTATAACCTGCTAAGGATTGTGTGAGGCCTGCTCTGTGTCCTGATTTAAAAGGGAAATGAGCTGGATGTGGCGGTGCATTCCCTGCAATCCCAGTTACTCAGGAGGCTGAGGCAGGAAGAGCACAAGTTCCAGGCCAAACTCACCAGTTTAGGGAGACGCTCAGAACCTTAGTGAGACTCTGTCTCAAAATAAAAATAAAAGGATCTGGGATGTAGTTCAGTGGTTATGAACCCTAGTATCAAAAAAGTCAAACCAAACTAAAAACTGAACAAACTGGGTATGGTGGTACACACCTGTAATATCTGTGACTCAGAATAGTGAGGCAGGAGGATCACAAGTTCAAGGCGAGCCTCAGCAACTTAGTGGGGCCCTGAGCAACTTAGTGAGACTCTCTCTCAAAATAAAAAATAATAAAGGACTGGGATATAGCTTAGTAGTAAAGTGCTCCTGGTATAATCCCTAGTACCAAAAAAAAAAAAAAAGGAATCCCCTGCTTAACAAAACAGATCTGGTCCACAGCTTCCCATCCATCCACCCAGGTACCTGTGGGAGGACACCAGACTTATATAAGGACAGGATCAAGGTTTTTTTTTTTTATTTTTTATTTTTAGTTCTCGGCGGACACAACATCTTTGTTTGTATGTGGTGCTGAGGATCGAACCCGGGCCGCACGCATGCCAGGCGAGCGCACTACCACTTGAGCCACATCCCCAGCCCTTGTTTGTTTTTTTTAATACTTTGTTTTTGGTTCATGTTTTATAACAAAGCATGTGCCACCATACCTAGCAATGCAGGGGATTTCTGAATATTGATATATGATATGGGAATGGTGAGAGGGATCTGAATAAATGGTCTGGGAGCTCCCCTACTGTGTCACCCTGGTCCATTTTGGGCTTGACCCAGTTGACATTCCTCAGGCAGAGGCTGTCATGGAGCAATGTGCATGTGTGGAGAGAGAGCTGGACAAAGTCCTGCAGAAGTTCCTGACCTATGGGCAGCACTGTGAGCAGAGCCTGGAGGAGCTGCTACACTATGTGGGCCAGCTGCGGGCTGAGCTGGCCAATGCAGGTGGGTGTCCACCCCTGAGAGATCCCCATACCAGACTTCCTGTGGATGGAGGAGATCTAGGGCTACTTGGTGACGTGGTCCGGGAAGGATGATTAGGACATTGATACATATACCTCTAGGCCTCTTCAAATGGGTGTGATGGCATTCTCTGAGCTCTTTCAAAAAGACCAACCAAAATTATTAATTTATCTGAAATTATTCTGTTGTGTTTATTTTTTTTGGTCCCCTTCTTTCTTTCTTTTTTTAATTTGGGTACCAGGGATTGAACTCAGGGGTGCTCAACCACTGATCCACACCCCCAGCTCTTTTGCATATTTTATTTAGAGACAGGGTCTCACTGAGTTGTTTAGTGCCTCACTGAGGTTGAGGCTGGCTTTGAACTTGAGATCCTCCTATTTCAGCCTCCCGTGCCACTGGGATTACAGGCATGTGCCATCGCGCCCGGCTCTTTATTCTTTTTTTGATGGTGCTAGTGATCAAACCCAGGACCTCATGCATGTTAGGCAAGCACTTTACCACTGAACTACATCCCCAACCTATCTCTCTTTTGAGCTACAATTCATATATCATTAAGCTCACTCTTTTCGAGTATACAATTCAGTGGTTTTTTAGAATATTTACAAAGTTGAACAATCATTACTACTATCTAATTTTAGAACATTGTCATCACCCCCAAAAGATACCCAACCCATTAATAGTCTGTCCATTCCTCCCACTAACACCCTGGCAATTGCTTATCTACTTTGTCTGTATAGATCTACCTATTCTGGACACTTCATATATATAGATTCATACAATATGTGGCCTTTTGTTTCTGACTTCTTTCAATAGCATAATGTTTTCAAGATTCTTCCATGTTGTAGCATGTACCAGGACTTCATTTCTTTTTGATACAGGATCTTGCTGTGTTGCTCAGGCTGGTCTCAAACTTGTAGACTCCCGTGATCCTCCCACCTCCCAAGTAGCAGGGACTACCACCATGCCTAGCTTTATTCCTTTTTATGGCTAAATAATATTGATTGTATGGATAGGCCACATTTTATTTATCCATTAGTTGATAAACATTTGGGTTATTTCTTATTCACATATAAGATTTTGGGTGGCCATCACTTTTATTTCTCTTGGAAGTGGAATTACTGGTATAGAGTGGGTCAGTGTTTCACTTGACAAACATAATTCTGTGTATGAATGCAGTACATGAGCTAAAATAGTCAACTCACAGTAAGTGCCAAATTGTCTTCATTTTATAGCAATCTACAGTTTTTATAGATGAAGGAATGAAAGCATAAGGGATAAATTGGCTTCTCCCACTTGACCAGTTCCAAGTTAAAAAGTGGCAGGACCTGAAATAGAAGCTAGATATTTCACTGTGGAGTTCAGGCTGCCAGGCCGGCATTTAGCAATGAACTACTTCCTCAGCTACTTTTTTTTTTTTTTGGTGGTGCTGGGGAGCAAATCCAGGGCCTCATGCATGCTAGGCAAGCACTTTATTACCAGGCCAGCATTTAGAATAGAGGAAGCAGAAATGGATCCTCTGTGTCCTGACTTGCTCCACTGTTTCTCTGAAGCACTCCAAGGGACCCCTCTCTCAGCTACCCTCTCCCTGGTGATGTCCCAGTGCTGCCGGAAGATCAAAGACATTGTCCAGAAACTGGCTTCAGACCATAAGGACATTCACAGCAGCGTGTCCCGAGTGGGCAAAGCCATTGACAGGGTGAGCATGTGGGCAGCCCGAGGACTAGGGGTGGGAATATCCTGGAGCTTGGCAGGAGAGCAATTGTGGGCACTGAAGTTATTGGGCCCTATCTCTCCTTGTCAGAACTTTGACTCTGAGATATGTGGTGTGGTCTCCGACGCCGTATGGGACTCACGGGAGAAGCAACAGCAGATTCTGCAGCTGGCCATTGTGGAGCACTTGTACCAGCAGGGCATGCTCAGTGTTGCTGAGGAGCTGTGCCAGGTAATGACTGTGCCAGGAATCAGGTTGTCTGGGAAGGTGCTGAGGGTACCTACTCATTCTGCTTTTTATCTGATCATTTTCTTCCTATTAAATCCCTGCCATTGTTTAAATACATGTATTTTAGAAATCATTTCCCTTCCATAAAATAGAGGGTTGCTCTAAAAAGATATATGATGAAAAGCAAAGTTACTGATTTCTACAGTAGCCAGGTTGCTAAGTTGAAGCCTGATATCCCCTTATTAAAAAGGGGATTAGTGAAATGATAAAGTAGCACTTGTTAGGCATTAAAGACACATTGGCAATGGAAGAAAAGGAGTCTTTGCCTTAATGTAATTAGGAGGATTGAAAAGGAATTTTCTCATCAAGCTCATCAGTGTCAGGCCTGAGGACTGTTCTCAGTACCCCAATGGTGGGATATAGTTTGTGGTCTGCACTCTGCACTCTGGGAGGTCAGCCTGTGGCACTCGACCTCCTTAGAAATGAAATGGGAATAAGAGGGACCTTTGTGGCTGGCAGGAGACCATGGCTTGCCTTGCAAACTCTGCCTCACTTCAGTCTGTTTTTGGCAGATCAAGTTTTATTATGTGTCTAACAGAATTTTGGAAACTCTGTCTTCCAGTGGTGAGATCTCTCTTTCTCCCCCACAGGAATCAACACTGAATGTGGACTTGGATTTCAAGCAGCCCTTCTTGGAGTTGAATCGAATCCTGGAAGCTCTGCACGAACAAGACCTGGGGCCTGCACTTGAGTAAGGAGGACCATGGGTGGGCTAGTAGCACTCTGTCATAGCCTCTCAGGGGCAGAACTTGTCTGTGGTCTTCATTTCACCCAGATGTGCTTGACATGCTTCCAGCCCTGTCTCAAGGGCCTCACACTCTTTTGGATCCCTTCTCTCAGATTCTGGCTGTGCCAGAGCCCACTTTTTAGCCCCCACCAACATGGCTCCTTTCTTCCCAGATGGGCCGTTTCTCATAGGCAGCGCCTGCTGGAGCTCAACAGTTCCCTGGAGTTCAAGCTGCACCGACTGCACTTCATCCGTCTCCTTGCAGGCGGCCCTGAGAAGCAGCTGGAGGCCCTCAGTTATGCCCGGCACTTTCAGCCTTTTGCTCGACTCCACCAGCGGGGTATGTGCCCAGGCACTGAGGGTGGTGCTGCTGGGGTCCAGCTGATGTGTCAGTTTGCCAGTCCCTGTGCCCACATTGGGTTCTGACACCCAGATGCCTCTCCCCAACCTGAAAAACTCTCTTTGACCCCTTATTGCCTCTGAGGTAAGCTCCCACACTCAGTGCTCTTCTTCATCCACATCTGCGAAATCTTTATACTGTCATCTCAGACACATCAAGTCTCCAGTGCCTGCTGTGTACCATACCTATACCCAGAGCATGCCATGCCCTCATGCTGCTTCCTCTGCCTCATATGTTTCTACCTACCTAGAAGGGCCCTGTTTAATAAGACTCACCTGAGCATCTTCTCTGGCATATTCTTCCTGAGTCCCCTTCCTTCATATTTGCATTTCCAAGCCTGTCCTTTGAGTCTTGCCTTTGAATGACCCATACTCCTCGACCAGGGATGAACCCAGGGCCACACACATGCTAGGCAAGCACTCTACCACTGAGTACATCCCCAGCCCACAAGCAATGATTTTAAATTTTTGTTAGATACTGCTGTCTCCTGAAAGTGTCAAACATGGGATCTGCTTTTGTTAAAAAGGGAGATTAGAGTTGGTGAGTGGAGACATTTTGTGCTAAGTGGAGACTTGCTTTTGATGCAAACAGAAGGATGAAAAGAGGATTGGAAAGGGACTGCCTCCTGATTCCATGTTGGCAACACCTGTTCTTGATTTATGGCAGCAGCCTAGACTTCCCCTTCCAGCTGGTTTTAGAATCAGTTTTGCCTGAGGGTGTTTCAGTTCCTGCTCAGTCTGTCAAGGGGCCAGGGAGCTGCAGTGTTCAGTGGAGCTCACAGAATTGTGCTTCTCAGTCCTGCTGCCCTCCCCCCCAGGATGGATTGGAGCCCCTGCATCCTCTGAACTGCTGCTTGGTTGCCTTGTAGAGATTCAGGTGATGATGGGCAGCCTTGTGTACCTGCGGCTGGGTTTGGAGAAGTCGCCCTACTGCCACCTCCTGGACAGCAGCCACTGGGCAGAGATCTGTGAGACCTTTACCCGGGATGCTTGTTCCCTGCTGGGGCTCTCTGTGGAGTCCCCACTCAGTGTCAGGTATGACCCAGCCTGGGAGGGCAGCATAAGGGGGAGGGCTTAGAGGGAAACATGATTTTGCCAAGGCACTGCCACCTACTGGGATGCTTCTTGGTGTTTTCACCGAATCATCCTTTGAGGCAGAAATTCCCCGTTTTTATAGTTAAAATAGAGGGCCCTGCCTTGCCTGCACATCTCTCCTAGATTATGGCAAGACCCTCCCAATGAAGACAAATCCACGCCTTTTTGCAGCCCTGTGACCTTTTGGTCTCTTCTCTCAAACAGCCACTTCCCTCAGGGGAGACTTGTGTGGTGGAGTAATGTGAATTTAGAGCTGTTGCTTAAAAGTCTCCGTCACAGTAATATCCTTCTATCCCAGCTTCACAATAACTCTGGGAATTGGAGGTACTGTTGTCCTCATTTTACAGATGAGGAAGTGGCATTTCACCATGGAATTAGCATGCCTCACAGAATAAAGGACACTTGGACTGACCCCAGAGCTATACTCCACCACAGTGGACAGCTGTCACATTGCTTTTTTTGCAGTACTGGGGATTCAGCCTAGGGGTGTTCTACTCAGCTCTTTTTATTTTATTTATTTATTAATATTTATTTTTTAGGTGTAGATGGACACAACACAATGCCTTTTTATTTTTATGTGGTGCTGAGGATGGAACCCGGGTCCCGCCTGTGCTAGGCGAGCTCTCTACCGCTGAGCCACAATCCCAGCCCCAGCTCTTTTTATTTTAATTTAATTTTTTTTTTTTTTCCACTGAGGATTGAACTCAGGGGTGCTTTACCACTGAGCTAAATAAATCCCTAGTCCTTTTAAGATTTAAATTTTGAGACAGGGTCTCACTAAGTTGCTGAGGCTAACTCCAGCTTGTGATCCTCCTGCCTTAGCCTCCTGAGTAGCTGGGATTACAGGTGTGTACCCTACTGCCCAGCTTCACATTGCATTTTATTTAGACTGGTTATGGAGTTTTATACTGTTCCCCAATGTGGAAGACTGACTCCACTTTCATCTACTTTGTTACCATGGATTTGGATTATTATTATTTCCTGGCAAGAACACCACTGGCCTTTTGACAGGCTCTGTGCTGTACAGCACTACCCTGTGCATTTCTAGAATTCATCATCCAAGTTCCCTACCAGTGAGCTCCCTATCACCCATGCGATGATTTTTGAGAACTGAATCCCCCTTTCTCATTTTTCAGTATCCTAGATTATAGCCACTATCCTACTGGTATACAAGACAGTAGGATAGACCCTGTAAATGGGCTGGGGCCCTTCCAAATTGACCACTGTCCTCCAAGTCACACCATGGAATTTTTTTAGTGTGTGTTTACTGGGGATTTTGAACTCAGGGGTGCTCTACCACTGAGCTTCATCCCCAGCCATTTTTATTTTTTATTTTGAGACAGGATCTCGCTAAGTTGCCCAGGCTGGCTTCCAACTTTCGATCCTCCTGTCTCAGCCTCCCGAGTTGGTGGGATTACAGGTGTGCACCACCATGACCAGCATACCATTTTTCATTGGTTTGGATGAGCAGATATCTGCTCTGGAGCTTCTCTTTGTCTTTCTTATAGGTTCTCAAACTTTGGGGTACATTAGAATGACTCTCTAGAGTTAGACATACCTGTCTACATATATAGCATTTTATGAGCCACTGAGGGATTTTCAAGGACTGATTTTATCTTTCGCTACTTTTTAATCCTGTCTCAAGTCCCTTGCCAAAGACATGCTGCACCAGTCCTTTTGTCTGTCGTCCAGGTCTCTGTGGTCTGAGCTACTCCAGCCCTGCTCTTTGTTCTGCAGCTTTGCCTCTGGCTGTGTGGCGCTGCCCGTGCTGATGAACATCAAAGCTGTGATTGAGCAGAGGCAGTGCACTGGGGTCTGGAGTCACAAGGATGAGTTGCCGGTGAGGCCTGGTGGGGGGGGCGTTAGCACAAGGCAGGCACCAGGAAATACAGCCAGGACAGAAAATGGAACTCAATCCTTTGTCACCCTCTCCAGATTGAGATTGAACTAGGCATGAAGTGCTGGTACCACTCGGTGTTTGCTTGCCCCATCCTCCGCCAGCAGACATCGGATTCCAACCCTCCCATCAAGCTCATCTGTGGCCATGTCATTTCCCGAGACGCACTAAACAAGCTCATTAATGGAGGAAAGTAAGTCCCCCCCCCCCCCCCCGCCGCCTAATTCTATCTTGACCAGGCTGCTCTGCTGGCCACCCCTGAGATGGTCTTGGTTCTCCCTTTGCAGGTTGAAATGTCCTTATTGTCCCATGGAGCAGAACCCAGCAGACGGGAAACACATCATATTCTGATTGCTGCCTGGAAGGAACTTTGTTGGAAGGGGTTTTCTCCCATGAGCCTCAGTCTGTCTAGGGGCGGATGGATGAGTGGCTTTAGTGGATTAGAATTCATTTCAGAGGAACTGGCTAAGGAACACTACCATGGGGTGGAGCCTGGCCAAGCTTTTGGCAGAGGCCAAGAAAAGAGGTTAAGAGCTAGACTGGGCAGCTACCTTCTTGGCTATAAGGAAAGGGAAATGCTGGCCTCTGTACTTTTGCTGTTTATATTTGCCCCACTTAGCAACTGACAGAGTAGCAAAGGTCTTGGACATCAGCAACAATCTTCCACCCCATCCTCAGCCATGGCTTTTACTGCCATGTGAAGGCTGTATCCACCTCTGCCTCTCAGCCTAGATGCAGCTGTGGCCAGCTCCTCCCACTGTATAGCCTCAACTGTATATCCATTCCCCGTTGTAAATAGTACAAGTTAGAACTGAATGCTGTTGTTTTATAACTTTGAGCAAATATATTCACAGCTCTTCTCCTTACTTCTAGCCAGCCTGGAGCTTCACTGACAATTATGTGCCCGCTGCACCATACATACTGGCATGGCCTGGTGGCTGCTAACAGAACCATGGTTAGCCAGGTCATCTGGAAAGTCTGCCTCGGGGGAAAATGTGGGAGATGTGCAACCCTGGGCAAGGTGCTTTTATATATATGTGTATAAAATCTTATTAGAAATCACTGTAAGGGGATTTAAGATGAAAGGATTTAAGATTAAGAGTTTCAACAGCTCTTGACCCAAGCATAAACTCTTTGCAGATTACCCCAGGGAGGCTGAAGACTGGTTGCTATGGGTACTAAATCCTGTGGTGAGGGAGTTTATAAGGCAGGGAGGGACCTCAGGTATACAGTGTTTGCAAAGGCCATTATGTTAAGAAGGAGAAAGGCCTGGGTTTGTATTTAGCTTCATATTCCTATATTAAATCTACTAGCCAGGTGCTGTGGGGCATGTCTGTAATCCAGTGACTTGGAAGGCTGAGGCAGGAGGATTCCAAGTTCTAGGCCAGCCTCAGCAACTTAGCAAGACCCTGTCTCAAAAAATAAAAAAGGACTGGGGATGTGACTTAGTGGTAGACTGTTCCCAGGTTTAATCCCTAGTATAAGGAAAAAAAAATTTACTGTTTTTTGAGTTTTTTCCCAGTAAGTTTTCCACGTTTCTTTTTTTTCCCCACTAAGTTGCTGAGGCTGGAATTAAACTTTTGATCCTCTTGTCTCAGCCTCCTGAGTTGCTGGGATTACAGGTATACATCACAGTGCCCAGGGTCCACAATGGTTTTTAAAGCTCCTGGAAGAAAAGAGGAATGGGACTGTCTATTTATGTAGTGGCTGCAGGCCCTGCTGCCTCATCTCAAAGCCTACACTTCTCCTGAAAATGAGAGTTGAAAGTTCTGGAGTACACAGGAAAATCAGTTCTCAAGCTGGGCACTGTGGTGCATGCTTGCAATCTCAGCTTCTCAACTACTCAGGAGTCTGAGGCAAAGGTTTGAGATCAGCTTCAGCAACTTACACCCTATGTCAATAAAGGGGCTCAGGATATGGTTCAATGATAAAGCACTGCTGAGTTCAATCTCTCTTACCAAAAAATCATTTCTTAGCTTAAACCAAAGCATGGGCCCTGAGTTACCAAGCATTAGCACTGAACATTCTTTGGGTTCTCTGGTGAGAAGGGATGCTTCCACTCTTTCCTGCCTGCCAACTCCTTGGCTACACCAGCTGCTGATGCTTTAAAAAAAAAAAAAAAATACCCACAGACTCATCACATTTTAGTCTTAGAATTTACTTCTCCCATTCCATATTCTTGGAACTCTCTTCATTGAAGCTCAACAGGAAGTGGAACTGATGGAAAGATGCTGGCTCTACCTTCAACAAACAGCTGTTGGAGCTAGCTGGGAAGAATCCTCATGGAATTGGAAGATGCTATGAGGATGGGCAATCATCCTGGTACCAGCTCAACAGCTTCTGGAACAGGTGCCTAGGCTGCTGTCCAAGTCCTTCACAAGGGAGGTGGCAGGGCCTGCACTTCCTCCAAGCATTCATCGTAGGCTTCTTGGTATTCCTCGTGGGGCTTGACCATTATCACACAGGTGGGGCGCTTGGAGCCAGCAGCTGCACCCAGGTCCTTTAAAGAAGAGGAAAAGTGAGGTGGTTTGGAAAAAAGCCTATATAGCCCCTATGCCAGAGTCACAACTATATAACCAACTAGCGTAATTTGGCCCACAGCTGTGTTCTACTGAGTACACATTGTTTTTAAAAACATTTCCAGCCAGGTGCAGTGGTGGTGCACACCTGTAATCCAGCTACTCCTGAGGCAGGAGGATTGCAAGATCGAGGTCAGCCTGGGTGACTTACTGGCTGCCATCATTTAATCCCAAGCAAACTTTCAAGCCCTGGTCCAGCAACACCGGGCCTACATTCCCACATGGCTACTGTAAAAGGGCTCCAGCCTTGCAGGTGCTGTCCTCATAGGCAGGGTGGGGCCTGTGCTAAGTCTCTGCCATCTCCCACATCCTATGCCCTATACCTCATTCCTGCTATGGAAGGACAAGGATAGATACAGGTTCCAAAAACACCTACTCTGAGCATGAATCCACCTAACATAACTAACATGGATGCAGCATCTTAAAAGTTTATGAGCACTTTCATGTACATCTGTTTTCATTCTCATGGTCCAGAGGAAACCCTCCAGGCATGGTGGCACACACCTATAGTCTCAGCTACATGGGAGGCTGAAGCAGAAGGATTGCTTGAGCCCAGGAATTCTGGGTCAGCCTATATAATGTAAGGTGGTCCTGTCTCAAAAAAAACAAGTGTAGAAATGTAACTTATCTGTCCCACAACTAAGAAGCAACGGACCAAGAAGCCACCAAAACCTGTCGTAATGCTTAAGGATATGAGTTCTTTCCCATTCAGCCTGCTGCTGCAGACTGCATTCTGGAACCCCTCCTCAGGGCTGACCAAGGTGTGTGTGTGTGGCAATGCTCCTTACCGTCTTAGAGGGGATATAAACATAGGGCAGATTCCGGTCTTCACACATAACTGGGAGATGGCAGTACACCTCAATTGGTAACGTATCTCCTGCCAAAACCATGATCCTGAAATGAGAGAACCATCATTTCTTTCTTCCTTTTTTTTTTTTTTTTTTAAGGAGAGAGAATTTTTAATATTTTTTAGTTTTCAGCGGACACAACATCTTTGTTTGTATGTGGTGCTGAGGATCGAACCTGGGCCGCACGCACGCCAGGCGAGCGCACTACCACTTGAGCCACATCCCCACCCCCGAGAGAAGCATCGTTTCTAATTTGCTCCCTTCTTTCTTTCAGTCCTAAGTTCCACATCTGGGTGGGCCTTGGGAATAGAGAGATGAATAAGATGTGCCACCCCCAAGGAATCTACAGTTATTGATGAGGGCCTGCTAAATTCTGAAGGGAGTGCAAAGTTGTTGGACAGAGGCATTCATATGGGGAAGTGAACTCTACTTCTTGAAAGCATGTAAATGCCACCAAGTATGATAAATAGTACAGTGCTGGGATAGATGAAGTACTGCAGAAATGTCAAAGAATAAGAATTCAACTCTGAGGCTAGCAAGAGACACTTGAATGGACAGCTGAATAATGTCAGGTAGCCAGTGGAGGGGTAGGAGGTGTGGAAAGTGTAAGACTGAGGGAATCAGACCAATACCAGATATATAGAGGCTGGTTGTGGGGAGCCTGAGATGTCTTTGTAATCTTAGGATAGGGAAGACAGTAGAAAACAAAGCTGAAGAGATCGGCAGGGGTCCCACTTATGGTCCTTTAAAGACAGGCTAAGAAGCATGAGCTCTGTCCCAAAAGGGAAAAGTTTGCCAGAGAATGCTCTACTATGGTTCTAGCTACCAAGGTATTAGGGCTTGGGGCAAGGGCCTGAGAAAGCCTGAAGACACAGAAGGAAGAGTATTCTCTCAAGGGTGAATGACAAAAGCAGATGTAGGAACCCTGAATTCAAAGTCCTGCTTCCAGGGCTGGGGATATAGCTCAGTGGTAAAGCGCTTGCCTGACATGTGTGAGGCACTGGGTTCAATCCTCAGCACCACATAAAAATGAATAAAGATACTGTGTGTTCATCTACAACTAAATAAATATTAAAAAACAACAACAAAAAACAAAATCCTGCTTCCAGGGCTGGGGATATAGCTCAGTTGGTCAAGTGCTTGCCTCACATGCATAAGGCCCTGGGTTTAATCCCTAGCACCACCACCAAAAAAAAAAAAGTTCTGCTTCCACACCTCTAGTTTCCTTTTTGCCTCCTGCATTATATGTTCTGCAGTCTCCTCTTTCTTATTATTATTGGTTCTGGGTATCAAACCCAGGGGCACTTTACTTCTGAGATATATCTCTAGCCTTTTTAATTTTATTTTTGGAATGGCGTTTTGCTAAGTTGCTGAAGCTGGCCTCAAACTTGGAATCTTCTTGCCTCAGCCCCACCCTGCCCAGCTGCCTAGCTGCCCAGCTGCAGGCTTGGCTTTCTTTTAGTACCAGGGATTGAACCCATGGTTGTGTAACCACAGAGCCACATCCCCAGCCATTTTAATATATTTTTTTAAGAGACAAGGTCTTGCTAAGTTGCTGAGGTTTGCTTTGAACTTGCAATCCTCCTGCCTCAGCCTCATGAGCTGCTGGGATTATAGGCATGAATTACTGCACTAGTTCCAGGCTCTTCTTTAAGCAGCCTTTAACTGTTGGTGTTCCTCATAGCCTGGTCTGTGGGTGCCTTCTCTCAGTATCTTCTCCCTGGATGACTCAATCCACTGCCCTTGTGTCAAGTGCACTACTCCTCCCATATCTATTCCCTCCAGCTTGGCCTTCTCTTTTCCATGCTCCAAACAAATATAGCCACATCCCTGTTGGGCAGTTAAGCTGGGGATGGAGGGCAGTGTGTCTCCGAGGCATCTCAAAAAGTTGCCTAAAACCAAACTTATGATCTTTTCACACAAACCTGGTTCTCCACTGTTTACAACCTCAGAAAATAAGCCCTCTATCCATTTGGCTGGGAATGAAACCATCCATACCTCTTTAGTCTCCCTATCTGAATGTGCTCTCAAACCTATCTTCCCCCATCACTTCTCCTGGACAACAGTTGTTGCCTACTGGATTTTCCCATATCTTGCCTCTTATTCCCTTCTTCAATTGCTAGAAAAACCTTAAGGTGTAAACATAGTTTTTTCCCTTCCTGCCTTTAACGTTAAATGGCCACCCAAAGTTCTAAGAAAAAAAAGTAAACTTACATAACTCACAGGGCACCATGAGGAGGTTCAGCACTACACTCTTGCCCTGGGATCCACACTTTCAGCTGTCAGGACCCTGCTTCCCCAAATCAATCCTGTGTTGTCAGATCTCAGCACAAATGGGCCTGCTCAGGGAAGCTTTCCCTCATGCATCCCCACATGAACAACTAGGTCAGATTCTCCAGTGAGCATCAAATCCCATCACACACATTCTCTTTGCAGTGCTGGGGATCAAATCCAGGGTCTCACAAATGCTAAGGCAAGTGCTCTACCATGGAAACCAACATTATCTTTTGAGCACCTACAGTGAACCAGAGACTTCTTTACATAAACCAGTAAAAGGCCCTGTTCTCAAGGTACTGCCTGGCCTGAGTGGGAAATACAGGGAATAAAAATATAAGTGTGCTTCAGATTCTGATAAACGCCAGAAAAGAAATAAGTAGGATAATGAAGTCATTCTAATTTCAGCTTGCAATTTTCCTCAATGAGTATTATCCTAACTTGTAATTATTTTTGTGTGTGATTTTATGACCCATGTCATTGTCTTTCCACAACACAGTACTTGAAAACCAGTAGACTCAGTCTAATTAATGAATGAAGCCAGGGGTCCTAAGAGCTCTGACTTCCCTCTGGAATTCACTATGACCTTTCAAGTGATGGCTCGGTATCCGTGTCGAAGGGAGTTCATCTACTGCTTGACTGTTTATGTGGCTGGGTCAGAGTTAACCCTACCTATACCGAATACCTGCTATCAGTAGTAGCAGGCATTCAATTAGATATGCAAAATTGGGCGGAAGGAGGGTTCTTACCCTTTCTCGCCTTTGTTGACAAACTTCTGAACCTCCTTAACCCCGCGCCGAATTTGCTTCTGCTTCACCGCTGCAACGACAGAAGAAATCAGTCGAATGCCGCATCCAGCCGCCCGCGCCCGCTACCCGGGTTACGCCGGCGCCGACTATACCTTTCTTGATGCATTTATAGAGCTTCCGCGTGAGTCTGCGAGAAGCCAGAGGCTGCGCGATAGGGTTCAGATTGACCAGCAGCTCATGGTAAGTGCGCTCTCCGCAGCACGCCTCCGCCGGAGTCTCGGGTCCGTCGGGGTCTGCCTTTATTTTGGTCATCCCGGCAGCCGCAGCAACCCAGACCCAAAGATGAATCCACGCGGCCCGCCGTCTCGGGAATTACTTCCGGGTCATCTAGCCATGCGCACACTATCACCGATTAGAAAATGAGGTCTCCGATTCAGGCCAATCATAAAATAGGGGGCGGAGTCTTGGGTCTAGGGGCGGGACCACTCTTGACTGATCAGATTAGGGGCAGGGCCAAGAGAACCTCTATCTAGGGCGGGGCCCAGAGGAAAGAAGAGAGCGTAGGACGCCCACTTGTGTTTGTTTAACGGATGGGCGTCACAGGCTTTGGGAACTGTCAGTGGAGGCACCTGCGCTTGGTGAGGGCGTGAGCACGTGTTGCGGGCAGGAACCTTGCCTAAAGAGCGGAGTCTGCGACGGGGAAGTCTGTACTCGATGTGAGTCCAATACCTAGAACGTCTTTCCTCAGATGGGCAATGCGGTTCCCGAGCTGGCCCTGGGGGGTGTGTCCACAAGTTAAGGTAAAGCCGGATACTGCTAAAGCTTTATTCTGTTCTTGCATAATTTCCTCATCCTTTGTTTTCTTTTTCCTGGACGCCGTTGTGCAGCTATGAAACAAGCATACAGAGCTAGGGACAACCCCATTAACTGAACGCCTTCATCTGGACCGCTTCTCCCCAAATTGCCGGTGGACCGCTTCCTGGGAAATCTGCCCAAATGTTACCCATGGAGGAGGTTCCCCTGACCACTTTATCAGCAATTTCAGTCCCTTCTCGCCGCCCACAAGCTTTCCCTAACCTTTTATATTTCCCCTAATTCTTTTTTATTATTATTATTTTATTTTTTAGTTTAGTTGGACTCAGTACCTTTATTTTATTTATTTTTATGTGGAGCTGAGGATCTAACCCAGGGCCTCAGACGTGCGAGGCGAGCGCTCTACCACTGAGCCGCATACCCAGCCCTCCCGTAATTCTTACCCCCTATTTCTTAGGGCATGTGAACACAGCTGAGTGTTGCCGTGAACCCTTCAGGGGAAAGAGATTTGGGGTGAGGGTAAGGAAGAGCTCTGAGTAATTGGTCAGTTGGAAGTTCTGTAGATTAGTGTACAGTTGACACAGATAGAGTTATGAACAGGCCTAGATTTCCGTTGACCTTGGTATTCTTATTTGTCCTTTCCAATATGGTACTGGGTATTGAACCCTGAGGTACTCTACCATTAAACCAGCCCTTTATATTTTTTATTTTGAGACAGAGTAGGCCACTCTGGCCTCCAACTTGCCATCCTCCTGCTTCAAGTCACCGGAGTTGCAGGGATTAACCGGTGTGCTCCTCCATAAATAGTGGGAGGAATGTTAGTCTGATAACTGATACAAATTAAGTGCCTTTGATTGTGTGGTTTCAAGCCTGCTATATTGACCTTTTAACCCTGGAACCAAGTTCAAAGTTATTAAATCAAAAACAAATTGGCAGAAGCTAGGCATGGTAATTCTTGTAATCCCAGTGGCTTGGGAAGCTGAGGCAGAAGGGTTTCAAGTTCGAGGCCTGTTTTGAGACAGGGTTTCACCAAATTCCCCAGGCTGGTCTTGAACTGGTGCTCTTCCTGCCACAGCCTCTACAGTTGCTGGGATTATAGGTGTGTGCCACAATACCTGGATCCTCCCTACTTCTTGAAACCCTGTTTCAAGTTACCTCAGCAATTTAGTGAGGGTCTAAGCAATTTAGCAAGACCCTGTCTGAAAATAAAAAATGAGAGGGCTAGGGATGTTGCTCAGTGGTTATGGACCTCTGGGTTCAATCCCTGATACCAAAAAAAAAGAAAGTTGGCAGCCAGGCATGATGGCACATGCCTATAACCAGCTACTCAGGAGGCTGAGTCAGGAGATGAAATTCCAGCCTGGCAACTAAGGTAAGACCCTGTCTCAAAATAGAAAAATAAAAAGTGTTGGGGATGTAGCTCAGTGCACCCCTGGGTTCAACCCCCATTACTGCTGTGGAAAAAAAGGCTGGGAGATAGCTCAGTGGTAGAGCACATGTAGTGAAGCCCTGGGTTCAATTCCTGTCACTCCTAGAAAGGTTGTTTTTTTTTTTTTTTAAGTGCTATTTTTATGTTGTTATATTGTGTGCATGTATGAATATATAACAACAAATCCCTCTGTTCACCAAATGCACACCCCTCCAAAAAAATAGGAAAGAAAGAAGGAAAAAAAAGGAATTAAAAAAAAAATTTGTTGTCTTGCTGGGTGCCGTGGTGCATGCCTGTAATCCCAGCATCTTGGGTGGATGAGGCAGAGGATCACTAATTCAAAGCCTGCCTCAGCAACTTAGGCCCTAAGCAATTTAGCAAGACCCTGTCTCAAAATAAAAAATAAAAAGGACTGGGGGATTTGGCTCAGTGGTTAAGCACCTCTGGGTTCAAAATTTTTGTTATTTTAATAAGAAAACTTATGCAATCCATACAATTTTAGATCCCCAAATAATTTTTACAGATAAAAAAATATGACATCAACGAACATATTTAAGTAGTAAAAGACAATTTGGAAATAAAGTTTGTATTCACAATGTAACAACAAAATAAATCTTTTGAATGTTTGCCTTTTGGAATTTCTTGAGGAAAGATGACCCCTTCATATGTTTGGTAACCCGTGGTTACTGTCAGCTTTTGCTTTACTGTGGAAAACCTTGTTGTAGTACCATTTCCCACCCCAAATTTTTCTCATCCTTCTTATTCCTCCTCTTCTATCCTTTTCTTCTTCTTCCTTCCCCATACTGGAGATTGAACCCAGGGGTGCTCTAGCACCAAGTCACATCCCCACCCTTTTTATATTTTTATTTTGAGACAGGGTCTTGCTAAGTTATCCAGGCTAGCCTTGAACTTGGGACCTTCCTGCCTCAGCCTCCAGAGTGGCTGGGATTATAGGTGAGTACCACCACAACTGGCTCTTCCTCCATGTTGTAATTACAGTTCTGGTGCCACTGGGAAGCCTCCCCCATGTAGCCTGTGAGTCCTGTGAAGGCAGCCCTGTGGCTTCTGAGTGTTCAGCTGACAGGATTCTGCAGAGTAGTTTTCTGTTTTTATCTCTCAGTGGTGTTCCAGCTGTACAGGAGGGATGGTAATGTGCCAGGGTCACAGAGAGAAGAGCTGCCACATGTGTGCATGAAGCATGGTGAACTCTGTTTAGCAGAATGATGGAGAAGTTCATCCCCAGAAACCTAATTCAAGCAAATGTGTTTGACTGACCTCACCAAGGACCTCAGTTGTGAAGGTCCCTCAGATCCTATATGGAAGGAAGAAGAGAATTTAACATTTGTGTACCAGCACATTATGTGTAATATCTGATTCAGTGCTCATAATTAAAATGCCATCCTCTTGAGGCTCCTCAAGATGAGTGGGAGGGCTGGGTCTGTAGCTCAGTGGTAGAGCACTTGCCTCACACATGTGAGGCACTGGGTTCGATCCTCAATACCACATAAAAATAAATAAATAAAGATATTGTGTTCATGTACAACTAAAAAATATTTTAAAAAAAAGATGAGTGGGAAATGTGTTTTCATCTATATAAAGCTGGATTTGATCCCAGGTCTGCTTGCCTTCAAGCCCCTTCAACTTTGCTCATATCTTGTGATTTGGCATTTGGCTCAAAAGACATGAAATCTTGATGGGGAAAGTTTAGGAAACTCAGCCTGGACCAGGTCACAAGTATCAGCTTTTTGAGCCACAAGACAATGAAGTACCAAGAACAAATACATCATCCAAAACCCAAACTCTTTATTTCCGAAGCTGAACTCAAGAGATCTGTATCAGATCCAAGGAGGTTTATGTGATTATATTGATGTTAAGAGAATGGCCACTAGAGCTTACTTGAAGCAGTGTAGAGTGCGTGAGAACACAGTGCCTGAAGGATCCTACTCCTGAATGCTAAATGACCAGTGACTTTGAGCAAATCATTTAACCCTTCTGGGCTTCAGTGTTCAAAGTAAGGTAAGCCTAGAAGGACTAAGGTCTTCTGTTTAAAAGAATGAGGGATTGGGCTGGGGATGTGGCTCAGTGGTGGAGCACTTGCTTAATATGCACAAGGCTCTGGGTTCAATCCCCATCACCGTACTTACACACCAAAGAGTGAAATAAAAGAAGTAGGGAGGATCCAGGTATGGTGGCACACACCTATAATCCCAGCAACTGTAGAAGCTGTGACAGGAAGAGCACCAGTTCAAGACCAACCTAGGGAATTTGGTGAAACCCTGTCTCAAAATAAAATTTTAAAAAGGGCAAGGCACAATGACCCATGCCTGTAATCCCAGTGATTTGGGAGACTGAGATAGGAGGTTCATAGATTTGAAGCCAGCCTCAGCAATTTAGCGAGACTCTAAGCAACTTAGTAAGACCCTGTCTCAAAATAAAACCTAAAAATGGTAGTGAATGTGACTTAATGATAGATCACCCCTGGGTTTAATCCTTATGTTTCTGCCCCTCCCCTTCAAAAGTAAAGCTACTATAAATATGTGTAGAGTTTTGTGTTACTATACGTTTTTAACTCCTTTGAGTAAAAAGGAATACAGTTGATAGATTTATGGTCAGAGTATGTTTGGTTAAGAAATTGCCAATTGCCGGTATTGGTGGTGCACATCTCTAATCCCAGCAATTTGGGAGGCTGAGGCAGGAGGATCACAGTTTCAAAACCATCCTCTGCAAAAAGCAAGGCAATAAGTAATCAGTGAGACCCTGTCTCTAATAAAATACAAAATAGAGTTGGGGATGTGGCTTAGTGGTTGAGTGTCCCTTAGTTCAATCCCTGGAACCCCTCCAAAAGAGAAATCACCAATTGTGTCAGGCACGGTAGTGCTCACCTGTAGTCCTAGTTCAAAGCCAGCCTCAGCAACTTAGCAAGGCCCTGTCTCTAAATAAAATATTTAAAAGAATTGGGATATGGTTTTAATGGTTAAGCACACCTGGGTTCAATCCTTGGTACAAAAAAAAAAAATTCCCACCAACGAATGACAGTTCCTGTTGCTCTGTGTTCTCTGCAGCATTTTGTATTGTCAGTGGTCATTTTGGCTAATCTAGTGAGTATATTAGGATTAATTGGCTTTTTTAAAAAAATATTTTTAGTTGTAGATAACTTTATTTTATTTATTTTTCTATGTGATGCTGAGGATTGAACCCAGTGCTTCACACATGCCAGGCAAGCTCTCTGCCACTAAGCCACAACCCTAGCCCAATTGAATTTATTTTCAAATCACAGTAGATGCAACTCTAGGAACTGAAGTCAAATAGAAAAGAAACTGTTTAATTTTTGCAATTTATTGGAAATTTGTTATAATTCTTTTGTAGACTACTCATGACAGGTATTAGTCACAATGATTGATGGTAACCTGCATCCCAGTCTGGCTTCCTTAGTAGGTAGAGGCTTCTCAGAAGTCAAGTCTGAGGCATTTTCTATGTGTATGTGATACTGTAGATTTAACCCAGGGTACACCACTGAGCTACACCCCTAGCCCTTTAAAAAAATTTTTTTTGGGGGGGTACTGAGAATTGAACTCAGGGGCACTCGGGCACTGAGCCCCATCCCAGCCCTATTTTGTATTTTATTTAAATACAGGGTCTCACTGAGTTTCTTAGTGCCTCGCTGAGGCTGAGGCTAGCTTTGAACTTGCGATCCTCCTGTCTCAGCCTCCCAAGCTGCTGGGATTACAGGTGTGTACCACTGTGCCCAGCTCCTTTTTAAAATTTTTGAGATAGGGTCTCACTAAAACACCCAGACTACAAATTATCTTTTTAAGCTCTCAACTTCCTGCAGTAAGGTGTGTCCCCAGCAGTTGAATCTGAGGAAGATTCCATTCTCCAGGATCCCACTTGGCCATTCCCCAATAGCTCTGTCAAAGGCCTTGGGCCAGGCATGATGGTGCATGCCTATCATCCTAGCCACTCAGGAGGCTGAGGCCTGAGAATCAAGAGCTTGAGGTCAGCCTGGGCAATTTAGCTAGAACCTCTCAGCTTGGTACTTCAGAAAGTACCTCTTTAAGCTACAAATTCTGGCTTTAGAATTTAAAACTTATTAGCATAACATGATAATATTTAAAAAGATGTTCAGATAGAACATATGGATATAAAAGCATAGGCTGGGGATGTGGGTAGAGTACTTGCCCAGCAAACATGAGTCCCTGGGTTCCCCCCCCCCCCGCCCCGCAAAAAATGTATAAAGCAGCTGGGGGCAGTATCACACATCTGTAATCCCAGCGACTTGGGATGCTGAGACAAGAAGATTATGAATTCAAGGCCAGCCTCAGCAATTTAGTGAGACTGTCTCAAAATAAATATTAAGTTTTTTGGAATTTATTTATGTAATATACAAACATACTGTGTTTGTATATTTAAATATGCATTAAATGCAAACTGCTTTGGCCATACTACAGCGATGTAGCCACATCAATGTATTTTTTTTTAATATTTAGTTTTTTAGTTGGACACAATTACCTTTATTTCACTTATTTATTTTTATGTGGTGCTGAGGATCGAACCCAGAGTCTCACACGTGCGAGGAGACTGCTCTACCGCTGAGCCCCAACCCCAGCCCCGCCACATCAATGTTTATAGCAGCTCAATTCACAATAGCTAAGCTATGGAACCAAACTAGGTACCCTTCAACAGATGAATGGATAAAGAAAATGTGGTACATATATACGATAGAATATTACTCAGCCATAAAGAATGAAATTATGGCATTTGCTGGTAAGTGGATGGAACTGGAAACTATCATGCCAAGTGAAATAAGCCAGTCCTAAAAAGCCAAAGGTAAATGTTCTCTCTGATATGTGGATGCTAACACACAATAAGTGAGGGGGGGAGTGGAAGGAGGGAAGAATAGAAGTTCATTGGATTAGACAAATGAGAATGAAAGGAAGGGAGTGGGAATGGGAATAGGAAAGACAGTAGAATGAATCATAACTTTCCTAGGTTCATGTATGAATATACCAGTGTAACTCCACATGATGTATAACCACAAGAATGGGAAGTTGTACTCCATATATTTATGAGATGTCAAAATACACTATACTGTCATGTATATCTAAAAAATTTTTTTTAAAAAACTACTTTGAAAATTTATTTCTACTCATCAATGTATCTTAGGACATTTAACCACTCCTGCTGATAGACCCTTGTTTTCTTTTAGTGTTTTCACTATTTTAATAATGGTGCAATAAAAATTGTGCATTTTTTAAAAACTGTGCTAGAAATTAAACCCAGGACCTCAAGCATGCTAGGGAAGTGCTGTACCACTAACAGATGTAACAGATGTACTGTTACATCTTCAGCCTTTTTTTTTTTTTTTTTTTACATTTTAAAAAATTATATTTTTAAAATCCTTTTTTAAAATTTTTTAAATTTTTATTCTTATAGTGCTGGGGATTAAACCCAGGGTTTTGTGCATGTGAGGCAAGCACTCTACCAACTGAGCTATATCCCCAGCCCTGTTTTTTTATTTTGAGACAGGTCATGTCAGTTGACCCAGGGCAGCATTGAACTTGTGGATCTCCTGCCTCAGCCTTTGTAGCTGGGATTACAAGGCATGTTCCATCATGATCAACTTTTGGTTTTTATTTTATGTGTGTGTTTGTGCGCACACATGTATGTGTGGTTATCTTTGGTACTTTTGTAAGTCTGTCCAGGTTATAAAATCCATAACACTGATAATTTTGGTATGTGCAATATTATTAAATTGTCATTTAAAGATTTACAGTTGTTTTAATATTATCTCAAATGCTTGCCAAGACTATTTTAGCAAACCTTTTTTTTTTTTTTGCATAATTCAAAAGGCAGAAATGGTGTCTAATTTAAGTTTCTTTAATTCTCATGGGTGCTGAATAATATTTTTCTTTTTTCTTCCTTACTTTCTCTGTGTCTGTCTGTTTTGCTCTCTCTGTCTCTCTTTAAGCTGTGGATTGAACCCAGGGTATCTCACATGCTAAACATGTACTATACTGCTGAGCTACACCTTTGTCGCTAGATAGTTTACATTTTTATAAGTCGTTTCTGTTTTTTTTTTTCCCTGTAAAATACTATTTTCATTTTTGTCCATCTTTTTATGACTTTAGAATAACTTTTTATGGCTGGGCGTGGTGATGTAAGCCTGTAATCCCAGTGACTCAGAAGGCTGAGGCAGAAGGATTGATCACAAGTTCAGAGCCCCCCTCAGCAACTTAGTGAGGCTCTAAGCAACTTATCAAGACTCTGTCTCAAAATAAAAAATGAAAAGGGCTGGGGATGTGGCTCAGTGGTTAAGCGCCACTGGGTTCAATTGCCGGCGGGAGGGGGAACATAAACTTTTTGTGCTTTCGGTGTAGGACAGATGAGGCTGAATACCCGAGAATTTTCAGGAAGCAGGTTTATGTAGCTTCAGTGGTGCAGAGGGTGCTAATGCTTAAAAATCTCTGGTCCCTGAGTCTGGAAATTCTTTTAGGTTTATACTCAGTGGGATGGTTACATGTCAGTGGGTAGGTACATAACAATTACTCTTTGTCCCAATTCTTAGGCAAGCAGAGGTTTCACAAGTTTTGTCTCCAAACTGAGCATTTACAAGACAGAAGAAGCTGTTGACACCCTTTGTAAAATCTTTCTGATAAGAAGAGAAGCAAAATATGGCAAGAGTATTTTGGGTGGGAGTACCTGGTCTGCTTCACTTCAACGAAATTTTTTCTTGCCTTGATATACATATGGCAATATAGCTAGCTATCTAGAATCTTTATTTTAATTTATTTTTGTGCTTGGGATGCAGCCCCAGGCCTTTCACATGCTAATATGTGTTCTACTACTATACTATACTTCGAGCCCCTAGATCAAATTTTTTATTTTTGGTGGTGTTGGGGACTGAACCCAGGGCCTTATGCATTCAAGGCAAGCAGTCCATCAACTGAGCTATATATATCCCCAGTTCCTAGATCAAAATTTTATAACCCCCTTGTCACTGATCTTTTGATTGAGAAATCAAAATTAGTGTTTAAATGCATCAGTCTTCTGTAACTTCTAATTTTTGTGTCATGGTTAAAAAGAATGTCGCCTGGCGAGCCTGGGTTATGGCTCTGCAGTAGAGTGCTTGCCTACCACGTGCGAGGCCCTGGATTCAATCCTCAGCACCACATAAAAATAAATAAATAAAGGTATTTATTTTATACAACTACAACTAAAACTTTAATAATAATAATAATAATAATAATAATAATAATAAACATCTTCAGATTACCATGGAAACCCTGAACAGGCTGTGAGAAGTTCCTGGCCATTTGCTAGTCTGTGAAAAGTCAGATTTCTGGCAGGACAAGTCTTGAAGCTGGCATCCTGTGGAGACGGGGTATCACCATTACAAGATTCCTATAATGCAAATACAAATATTGATGAACATAATACTGCTGTCCTGCTACCAAACAATAATAGCACTACTTTTTCTTTTATTTTCAATTATAAAAGAAAAGACTGGCTGTGTCTCAGTAGTAGCCTGCAGGAAGCCCTGGGTTTGATCCTCAGCTCCACCAAAACAAACAAACAAAACAAGTCAAATCATGCAGATCTTTATTTTTGTAATGCTGGGGATCAATGAACTTGTAATGAATGCACTTGCCTGCATGCTAGGCAAATGCTGTATGCTGTGTTACTGAGCTACTTCTCCAACCCTTTTTATTTTTGATTTTGAGACATGGTCTTACTAAGTTGCCCAGTCTGACCTCAAACTTGTGATCTTCCTGCTTTAGCCACCTCCCAAGTTTTTGGGATTACAGGGGTATACCACTGTGCGTGGCTGTGCATATTTTTGTCATGTTTCCCCCCTCCCCCTTTTTTTTTTCCCCTCTGAAATTGTTCCCTTTTTAGGAGGAACTTTGATTAATAGAAAAGTTAATGTTATCACTGGATAAGGACATTTATGAATAAACAGGACTTCAAGGTCATTCATCTCAGTATTCTGGCAGAAAAATTGTATTTATCCACTGCTCTGGGGAGTCAAAGCTAGCTTCATGGGTTACATTGTTGTTTCAAGGCTTTGTGGATAGGCCTGGTTTGTGGAGAGG